ACTTACTCCTACTACCACTTTTATACAATGACTTTAGATTAATCTATACATAATTTGTTCGACTTCTGGAATAAAATCAGCCGTCACTGATTTTTTCTTTTTTTTTTTTTCATATTTTTGTAGGTAAATAACCACCAGTTATGACATTTCTATAGAGCCTTACAGCACCTCTGTGTGGTGCCCAAGCCACCATTTTTTCTAGTATTTTCTGTGGTTCATTTGTGATTCAGGACTGATCAACTTGAATTTCAGGACGTTCAGTCTCAACAACCAATACAAAAGAACCGCCGATACGAAAACATTCCAAACTATCAGCTAAAGGAAAAACTCTAACCTAAATTGATTTAAATGACCACGTTATCACGAAGGAGCGTGGGTGAAGATCTCGATCACTGACATCAGCTCCAAATTTTTTGAAAATAAATCAAATTAGCACAGACCATTATAACAAAGAATTCAATTCCGGTGGTTAACAGAGAGATTTGTTTCTTTTTTAGTCCAATTAGAGAGTGCGTTAGTCTTAGAGACGGCAGGTGTGATGCGCTAAACCGCGGTGGAGTCAGTTGCGAAATGTCAGCAGGTCTTAGTCAAAGCTGTCAAACAGAGTATCTTTGCGTATACTTCGTAAACCATTAAAAGAAAGCGACTATAATGGCCAACTTCAGTATGTTATTGTTCACAGGAAGGTAAATGGTCTAAGCTATAGAACTGATTAAATGGTTCTTAATCAATTTTTTGTCTATCAAATTAGGCGCGAAATTCGTCTGAATCAGTCAGCAGTTAGCTGCTTTTGTAACTCGACTTTGTTTGAACGCGCGAAAGTCAATATTGAATCTGTATCGAAGTCACTTTTAGAGCTGTTTAAAGCATCGCAACTTAAGACAAAATACATAAAGGATCAAACGAACTTTGGCAAATTGTAACTGAAGCGGTAAACAGCTAGTTGCATCGCAGCAAGCACTCTTTCATTTAAATCTAATCACCTCATGAAAAATTCATTAGAAATCAGCGTCTTCGCACGATGAGTCACCCCACCTACGCGACAAAAATCCTTCAAGCAAAAAACTTTCGTAAATAAAGGACGTTGACAAACTCGCTGTACAACAAAAACTACGAGTCAGGTAAGAAACAGTTTAACAGCATATTCTGGATCACAATAATCGGTATTTCATACTTTAAGTGGAAAAACGAGCGAACTTTTTGTCAGTTAAGTTCCCACGGTTTATGCATCTAATGAATCACAATCAATTTGACTGAGAACTTTATTAACCATAGCTGGAAATGTAAATGCACTACGGTGCCGCTTCGGCGATCGAGGTAGCTGTTTTATCTGACACGACCTGTTTTCAGGAGTTTTCAGGGAGCTCATTAGTTCCAGACTATTTGTTTTTTCTTGACAGCGGTTTGGAGAGTTCAAATTAGCGAAACACAGCGCCGTTGACAGCAATTCGAATGAGACACCTCGACAAATGTTTACCTGAGCTATCCAGACAGTTTACCTATTTAACCAAACTATTCAGTATATGTAAGTACATTTTGATATTGAAGGATAAAACCGAGCTTAGATAGCATTTATCTAAGTTTTTGAATAGCCCATGGATGCAAAACAAGTTGAAAATTTTGGTTAGCCACACAGTTTGAATTTAAGCAGACTACGAAACCATTGACATTCTTGGTGTTACAGAATTCAGAACATATTTTTTATTCACCGGCTCTGGTACTATACAGTTTATTGAGCTTCAGGGTGAACGGAATAAGTTTGCTCAAAAATTATGTTTAGGTGTAATTTGTACTTTGTGGTAATCGAATATCTATTAGAAGCACAAAGTATTTGTAATCAAATGTATTCTTTTGAAATTCGTCAAGAAGTCGTTGAAGCATAGCAACTTTGCCGACAAAGAATATAAAAGATTGTAAAAGATTTTCATTGAAGCGCAACTTGTCCCCAGAGAAACCAGGAGTCAGCTCACTGAGTGAAATTTCATTGTCTTTCCAGACACGAACTCGAGTGGATAAATTTTTCTCATTTAATAGGAAAAATCGTGGGAAAAAATCATTCAATTGTTATAGTTAATATTGTCTGCAATCGTCGAAAATCACTCTCAGATTCAAATTACTCCACTTGATTACAGCGAGCATCTGGTTTGATTTTTTTTTAACTGTTTCTTGTTGTTGTAATTTTTCTTTTCATATGCATATCAAAGTAAATAAGCGATATTTTATAACGAATATGAAACGTTTACAGCAGTAAAAAAGAAACTGTTTAATTACAAGCAATTGCGATACTAATGGTAAACTTGTTATTAGGCAAGGTTAAAAAAGATTGAAGTCTCCTTTTAAAGAGAACTACAAGTCGTACTCAATTTATTTTCATATCCCTGTCACCTCAGTTTCCAAACCATTTTTAATCTAGTCGGCCTTTGTACAAAGATTTTTTTCCCGGACGCTAATACAAGTATAATCTTTTGTGGCACAAGGTGCAAAGTTCTACAGTGTCTTGGTACAACGATGTCGAAAGAAAATTATTTTGTTTGCGCATTTTTTAAAGATTGGATTAGTGGTGAAATTATGCAGCCTATTGAAGTCTAAACATGATTAATTCTTGCGGGTGGCGGTATTCAAGACAAAGCAAGCTCCTTTTTCGCCGGAAAGCAGCCAAAGGTTACGGTGCTCTCCCCACCCCGGACATTGTAACATTCTAGAATTCTAGAATTTGCATTGTAACCGCGCCCTTAATCAAAACCAATATGGCGACGGAAACATAAATCCACTTTCCAAACAAAGAGAGGTTCGTATTGTAAACAGAACCAAATACTGACGATATTTGGCGGGCTTTTGCAGATCAAGTATTGATCAGCGCTGTCATCTGATACCTGTTTGCTGTCAAGAAATTTTAGACGACTCATCTGTTGAAAACAAAGTTTATCGTGCAAAGAGCAGTTCAGGGAGGTTTAGCGTTCGACGGGATTAGAAAGCTTCTGTTGCATCGTCCGAAGCTTTTGTGAGTCAGTCAGGTAATCTGTTAAGCCTAACCAAGGCATTTTGTCGTCTAATCAGGCTGCATTAATTTTTCTCCGCTTTATTTTGGAATCGCAATGATCGAGATGATATTTTTGCCAGTTTTGTTCACAATTTTGTCCCGAACACGAACAACGGTCGCAAACAATGTTTACGCATTAGCTTGGTTTGCACATACAAAGCGAATTCGGTCAACGAAGAAGAAGAGGGTGCAAACAACTTTTATGTCGCTAAAGCAGCAATCGTTATTTACAGCGTTCAGATTTATTCAATCACAGATTCTCTAAAACAGGTTTCTTCGATCCGTATTACAGTAAACTAATTTTCGATGCTTGCATGCATTCGATTAGTGATTTAAAATTCTAACTCGTGCTTGATTCTCCGAATTGAATTTGATTGGTTGGTATGATCGGTTGATAAATGGATGGTTGCAATATGCATGATCAACTACACGACAAAATACTTTTATAGAAATTGGAACAGCACTTTAATACCTACAGTATAAATGTGTTAAATAACTCTTTTAATTCCGTTTCTTTCGATAGTGTTTTCGATATTGTGTGTTTGTGATTCTTATCATCTTCACAACAGAGTACTTTAAAAAACTAGTGCGAATATCTTATTATTATCTTTTAACTTCGAAGCTCCCACCTCTTAATATATTTCTTACATAGTTTTTCAGGTTTTAACACTTAAATCTTGTAAACAGCTTTTAAAAACAAGCTTACATTAATCCACTTCTTTAAACTCAAAGCGAAAAATTGGTCGTCATGACCTGCACTCATGCTCGTTATGTCACCATGTGATACAAACCAAATTATCGCGTGTAGAAAACAAAATTAATTCGACGAAGAAAGAGAAAAATAGCTTGTGCTTCGAACGTTGTTGACATCGCGGACTCTGGGAAAATCAGTACCTCGCATCGTCGATGAAGCGAAAATAGATATGTCAAAATTTGTGTCCAATTTTGTCTTTGCTGTTCCAAATTTGCACACGTTTTGTTTTTGTAATAAGAGTCATGTTATTTTCAAAAGAAGTCATTTATCGAATACAGATTATTTTACATTCTACAGAAGAAAATTCTTATCTTCAATTAACAGGAATCATCTTTATTAGGCATGTTAGATTCAATTTTAAATTAACCCTCAACATTTCAGCACTTTCAAAAACTAAATATCTGTAATCCAAATATTTCCTAATGTAAATTGAACTGCTGCACAGTTTATGATTGTTTTATTATTATTTTGACTCTTTCCATTACTAAGGTATTTTACTACTAGAATTAACTTAAGGTACTTTCTCCTCACTAATCAAATCAATTCCTAATCAAATTCTCAGAGCTAAAATTATAACAAGTGTATGGAGGGTAGTGAGGAGAATTGATAGGGTAATCTTGGTTGAAAAAAAGTAAAATAAAATACTAACCTAGGAGGGAAGAATCAGTTGCAAGGTTGAATAAAATGAGAATTCTTAATAGGAAATATTTATTGTATCTTCTAATCTTGCAGTATATTCTTTTCCAGTTTTTTTGTTTTGTTTTCCTTTTTGTTAATAATTACCACAAACATTCATATAACTTCCTTGAACTTATTTTCCTTTCAAAGATTTGAGAGGGTAAAGGAGCAAAGTGGCATTTTTTTTTAATTGTGTCCTTGGTTTATCACTATTTTCTGCATTTTTAACAAAGGAATGATGCAAAATTATTTCAGTTTTTGTTAAGATCTAATCCTCTTTATTACCTTTGTTCTATGAGTCCTGTCATGTTTCCCATGTTTTTCCGCAATTTCAATTTTTTCCAGTTGCCAAAGTTTGGAAGTTTTCTCAGATCAAGATGTTGTTATTGATAGACACCAACATGTTCGGGATTTCTAGAGCACCTTGTTAATTGATTATTAAACATTGCCTTCTTTACTCTGCAACAATTTAATTCTTCATTCTTTTGTAGCAGGAATAGATCCTTGACTGAAGTCAGTCTAGCCACTATGCAGTGGGAAACTGCACAAAATGAATCCTTCACAAAAAGGGAAGTGCGACAAGTTCACACAATAAGTGAAACTTCACATAACTCTTGGAGTGAGCGGCAGTCCATTGACACAACCAACAGATACAGGCAGTTTGTGAATGGTGCTATTACAAACGGAACTGATCCATCACAAGAGACGTCTTACAGTAAAAGAAAAATTTACATGGTGAATGGAGACACAACTTCTGAAGGAAGGGAAGATAGATTTCCATATAAAAAACATGAGTCAGATGTCAGTGAGACAGGGTCTCTACAGCGCACATACAGTAGTGGGAGTGGTACAGGGAGAAAACTTAGTGGCAGCTCAGTTGGGTCCACAAGTAGTGGAACAAAGATATCCAGCGTAACTATGCCAATAAGATCTGCATCATTTGCCACGCGAAGAGTTTCCAGCAGTTCAGAAAAGCCAGGTAATTACAACATAGTATTTGAGATAATTGTTGATTACTCACTTGATTTGATTTAAAACTTTCTTTATTTAATTTCAACTTGTTGAATTCCATTTCCTGTGGCTTAACAGTTTTCATTCATTTGTGTAAATTTATCTCTGCCATCCTGGTTTATTTGATAGTTCAAGCAAGTACTTCGTCCAGTACAGAAGCTGCACCAACAAAACCAGTGACTCTACCCCGCACATCTTCCCTGGTGAAACAACGTACGCCTTCAGATCCAAAGTCAGGCCTTCCTGAAGTGAATGGTAAGGTCATGTATGTGCATATGTGAGCATAATGAAAATATGAGGGCATGCTTGATATTAGGCTTTTTCCTCAAAGAACTGTTTCAAAAGGGAATTTCTCCTCACCAATCAATGTGATGATTTCATGCAGTGATGATGTAAATGAAGGTTCTAGCTTTCTTAAAATTAAATCACCAAACTAGAATTTATTATTTTTTATTTAAATTATCATTGCAAAAAAGCATCACTTATCAACATCTGTTTACTATCTGTATACTAGAAGTTTTTCTCCATGGACTTAGAAATTCTGTCTTGGTCACTCATGGGAACAAAAGGGTTAAATGGTGTAGCCAACCATGAGTCTCCTATAGCTCAGTGATAGGGCAGGCAAAGTGCTAATCGACTAATCCACTCCTATTGGGAGCAGTAAGATTTATCTGTTCCAAGTATGCCAGAATAAAATTTAATCATCCCTCAATTAGATCTTAGGGCTTAAAATTTACCATCTTCATTTACATCAGCTGAAAACTTGGCCAATAAAATTGATATACACTGTAAATGTTCATTATTGGAAATCCTATTTATTAATTACACATTATCTTCCCAGTGAAATACAACATCAAAATGAAACTTGGTGAAGTCAAAGGTAATGGTGTGGATGGAAATGTCTACATCCAGCTGTTTGGATCCAAGGGAAACACAGCAAAAATACAGTTACGTCAAGCAGGAGACGAGAAGAACCGGTTTGAAACTGATCAGGAATATAAGTTTATGGTTACCACCATGGACATTGGAAAGGTAATTGTATGCAAAAATGGGTGGTACTAACAGTATAAGTGGTTATGTCGATTACTCGATAAATCAAAAGTAAATGGATTGTTTTTTCATTACAAAGAGATTGAGTATTAAAAGTAAAAAATCATTTTGTTAATCCCAAAGTTGTGTCAGAATGTACTACAGAACAATCTACATGCACAAAGAGATGCTTTTGTATATAAATGATGACAGCTCATCCATTTATTTCAGCTCATTTATTTTGAAGCCATTGCTGTTTTTTTCAGGTGGCCTCTGCCTTCTTCTCCGAGGACTTATCAAAATTTAGTTTCTCCTTGCACTATCAACACATATGAACATAATGAGAAGAAACAAAAAATATCAGTGTACAGGAGTTTCATAACTACCTGGATTGTCAGTCTATTAGGCTATAGCTGTATCTGTATGACCTCTTACTGGTGCTTGTTTAGCCTGTGTGCAGGCTCTTGTATTTGGTTTTGCTTTATGGCCCCCTCTTCCAGGTCAGCAGCTGCTTAAAAAAAAACATCAAAAAATAGGGACATGATTTGTCTATTGTAGGGGGTGGCCTTTGGGTAAGATTCCACCTCACAGAAGGAAAAGATTTTAAGGTATGTGTAAGACAAAAAAGAAATAAAACGGAATACCACAAATACTTGGTGTATTTTCTGTACTTCACCCTCGCAGGTCGAGAGAATAAAACTCAGCCATGATCACATGGAATATGGAACAGGGCTTCATGTGAAAGAAGTCGAAGTTGATGTTCCTTCCTACGGCAGCCATTACACCTTCCCTTGCAACTGTTGGCTGGCACAAGATAAGCTCTCAGAGATGACAATCAAAGACTTGAATTCAACTCCTACACCAAGTAAGTCCAGGCATTAATCGTATGAAATAAATTCTTTTACTTTGAATTTGTTTGTTAAGAAATCAGTAAGGATCCTCAGATCTAATTGTGTGTCAGTGTCTTTGTTTGATATCTTATTACAGCTTAAAAAGAACCCTGCAGGGGTGAGCTATGTATAATTGTACATTTAGTAAATGGCAATCTTCTTAGATGTCTCTTTCAGTGTAATTTTTCAATCCAAAACCTGTTTAATGTAATTGTCTTAATGCACTTCGATACAATGCAGTGCAGACTTCTGCACTACGATATGTTTGTCAGACACATCTGTGTTTGTTAACAGACCAGTCTAAAAATGCGTTAGATGAAGTGTATGCACTATTGTCATTTGTTGCCATAACTTTGTTGCCATAACAAACTAGAGGCCTAAGTTACAGACCAAGTTTTTTTTCTGTTCCAATTTTTGCCTCAATGACAAACTTGCAGGCCATAAATCTGAGCAGAAAAAACAAGGTTCCCTAACTTACAGCATGGACTGACAAATTAGATTAGCAAGATACAGACATCTTTGGGTTCAAATAGAGGAAGAAGATTTTAATTCAAACAAACTTTTGAATATAGCAGCCATACATTGAAATAGAGCCTGCAAAATTGACCAATTATAAGGCACATACTGATATGAATGATAAATGATCTCGTTCAACAGTAGATCGGAGCAGTTATGTTAATTGGACACTATAATGTGTTGCATTACAGACAAAGGTTACACAGTCTCAGTTCATTTGGGTAAAGTTCTGGATCCATACACCAAGTTGTACTTGCAACTGTGCGGGGAGAAGGAGGAGAGCACCAAAATTGTGCTTCGCCCATCAGGAACTGCAACAGATACATTTCAAGAAGGAAAGACCTACAAATTCTCAGTTGAGATGCCATATATTGGAAAGGTATTGTAGCTTTACAATAATCATATGACTGTCTTTTATTTCACTTTATGATATAACATTTACATGTAAGATATAAAGTGAACACTCTCTGAGAACTAATTTTTAGTAAAATAATTATGTGTAGCAATAGATATTTCAAGTTGTTACATTGGTTTTATTAATACACAAACAAACTAGCCAGTGTGAATTTTGTGGAGTCTTACGTGAAATTGAGTGTATATTTTAACACTTTACAATCTAGCTTCAGTATCTATCATTATTCTCCATACCCCTCTCTAAACATTTCCTTTAGTGGGGAAGGGAAAGTTGTTTTATTAACAATTTAAGATTCTTAGGTTGGCAATCATTTCCTGTATTCTCATGGTATTAATGAGTTATTCAACAGTATTACTGTAAGGAGAAATTACATGCTGATCACTCTTTGGGTTTAAAAGGTTAAAAAGGGTACAATGTGAGCTAAGATACTATCAATGATTTTGTGTGTTTTACGCTATAGGTGGAGAGAATCCGTGTTGGTCATGATACCTATGGAAGTGGAAAGGGTATTTTTGTAGATGATATTGAAGTTGCACCAGACGATGAAGAGGCTCTGTATTTTCCTTGTTCTTGTTGGTTGGCAGAAGACATTGGAGATGGAAAATTAGAACGAGAGATCTATCCAGGAACGAGGACCCCTCAGACATCAGGTAGACACCAATGCTGTACATGTACAAAATGCTCTGTGCTGCACCTAAGTGTAATTTTTTATTTCAGTTTGCAGGTTTTCAATATAGTTTCGCTTTTGATTTTCTTTGGGACAGAATATGGTTATACAATTGCAGATCTGAGACAAACAAAAATCAAACTGAAACTAGTTTGAATTTGGTTTTTGTTTTTCAGAGTCAGACATTACCCACACAGTGTCTGTGCACCTTGGAGAAGTACTGAACCCTGAAGCCACATTATACATCTATTTGATTGGTCGTAGAGGGGAAACTAGCAAAGTTTTCTTGAGGCCAGAAGAACCGTTACAAAGAGAGAAGACGTATAAATTCACGCTTGCTCTTACTGTTGATATTGGAGGGGTACGTAGGCACATAATGAACAATACCCATTTAAGATTGAGTAGCTTGAGGTAGTTTAAATTTATGACACATGCAGCTTAGTATCAGCTCTTTTAGGAACATAACCATGCCTTTTAAAATTGCGATTTTGGTTCATGATGCCACGTTATTATTATTGAGTGAACATTCTTCAATCTCAAATTAGGAGCGTGAACTTTTGAACTCTCTGAAGAGCACATGTTCTCCGAGAGATCCACAACGCAACTGAAAGCAGCTTGAAACGCGTTTTCAATGATACATGTTTGTCAAAAGCATTGTTAGTACATGTACCAAATGGACGCCCTCTTTTTGAGTAGAAAAATTTTGTGAAACTTTGATTTTATTTTATCTAAAATGAGTAAGAAAGGGTTAGACCTTGAATAATAACTTAAAAACTTAAACGTTTTCTTACAAACTATACCTGGTCCTCTGGCTTTGCTTTAGTATTTTACTTTAATTGTTGCCTATCTGAACTAAATCAGTAAAGTAGTGAGAAAGTTTTCCTCGTGTTTGGTATTCTAGATTGAGAAGATTCGCCTTGGACAGGACAGCCGAGGGTATGGCAAAGGACTGTTTGTGGAAAGTGTCAAAGTGGTTCCAACAGAAAGTGACCCTCCAGTAATGTTCCCATGTGCATGTTGGCTGGCTGAAGATGTGTGGGACAGTAAAACTGAGAGAGAGCTGCTTCCTGGAAAAGCTGTTAAGAGACCTGAAAGTAAGTTTTGGTGGATGGGCTGAATTTAGAAGGCAAGGGCGTTGGGAGGGAGGGGTAGTGTAGAGAATGCATAAGAAATGCTTTAAATTAATTTTGGGAAATTAAAGGAATGATCGTAGAGGCAAGATATTGTATTAAATTGGGGAATATCGGGGGTGAGGAGTGGGGAGGGCGTATCTTCATTATAGCATAGTGGGTATGAGTACCCCAGGAGGGGTGGGGAGGGCGTCTCTTTAGTATAGCATAGTTGGCATGGGTACCCCCGGAGGGGTGGAGAGGGCGTGTCTTCATTATGGCATGGATGGCATGGGTACCCGCGGAAGGGTTGGAAGGGCGTCTCTTCGCTTTAGCATAGTGGGGATGAGTAAGTATTGTTGACTCTTATGTGTGGGAATATTTTTTGTTCCAGATGTTGCTTACAACTTAACATTTAAGACAGGCGACATGCCGTATGCGGGCACTGATGCTAATGTGACACTGCAGCTGTTTGGAGACAAAGGTCAAACAGAAAAGATCATGTTACGGCAAGAATCTGGAAAAACACTGAAGAGATTTGATCGAGGACGAACGGACAGATTCACTGTGCAGACGATGGACGTTGGCAAAGTGAGTGAATCTAGGTTTACTTATTTTTTTCAGGTTCCATTTCTCTTTATCTGATTTATGACCACAATCTCGTTTAGGTTGAAAGGATTCGCCTCAGTCATGATAACACTGGTCCTAATCCAGAGTGGTATTTAGAATACCTGAAGATCGATATATCCACCAGGGACGAAAAGTACATGTTTCCATGCAACCGCTGGCTGACTGGTGACGAGGACAGACGAGTTGAAGTTGAAGTTTACCCTGGTAAGAGAGAAAACAAAATTTGACTTTACTAGACAAAGAAAACGAGTCTCACGCATTTGTACTACACAGTAGTACTAACAATTCGTGAAAACTCTTCTCAGAAATGAAGAAACGAAGTAAAAAATTTCACTAAGGTCTTAATTTATGACGCCTTTTTTTCAGGAATAGTTGTTTCATTATATGCCAAAACGGTAAGAAAATATAGCACAAAAAGATGATTTTAACTCAATTGTTCTTGTAACGATTACAATATTTTTGGGCACAAATCCTGCGCGAGTCGCTCAGAGATTAATAGCAAAGGATATTCGGAGTTTGAGTAGCCAATCAGAGTGCGCCTTCGACGCTATCCTTTGTTTTAGTTTATACTAAAATTGAATACCATTGAATTTTGAGGAAAAACTAGAAAATCATGGATTGGTAACCTTCGTTGGAACAGGACCTCTCTCAGGAAGAGTGAGGTCAATTTTTCTTCACGAACAAAAAATGCCAAAAAAGGGAAACGAAGGAAGAGAAATAACACCAAAGAACACTCCAAGAATTAATAATTGTAGATATATGAAAATCATAGATGTGCACTGCGGTGAAGAAACAAATATAAGAGATCCTCGCAGCTAAGAACACTACTGAACTAGTAGTTGAAATAAGACTGTCTTATTTCAACTACTGGTTCAGTAGTGTTTATAGTTGCGAGGATCTCTTAAATTCACTCCAAGAATTAGTAAACTGGTCGTAGGTAAGTTTAGCGGTATATGAAACATGCTACTTTATCGTTTTCTCGCAGTTGACGAGAACGCCGTTAAGGAAGAGAGCATTACTGTTGAAGAGGCTACACAAGAGTCTGCTGCTGGTAGGCGCCTTTGATTTTTTTTAATGTTACGTTTTGTGCAGTGTGAACATATTTAGAATAAGCTAAACTCGATTACTCAAGCAATAACTTCTTGCAAATTTCGTCGCCTTGCATAATCGTGGGTCTCCCCTTATGATGTTTTTCCCGTGTTTCTCTGGTTTTCCCTCACCACGCAGGAACCAAAATTGATCAAAGTTTCATTGTTGACACTTGAAGTTAAGGTATTGTTCCAGTTTTGCCCTTTGAGTGGATTTCATTGTACGGATGGGTCCGGTTTCGGTGGATGTAAACAACGTGTAGCCACTGATTTCCATTTCTTTTTTTACTTTATTCTTAGCGCCTGAGATGGCGGAATATCAAGGTAAGGGCACATCGTAGCGTACAGAAACTACATTCGGTCAATATTGGTTAGGACTGACATACCACACCTGTTATTTAAAAATGAATGGATTGTTGTTGTTTAAAATTCTCTTTACTAAATTTTGAATGGAATTGTCTTCGCCAGCCAGTTCTGACGTGCCTATTATTCGGGAATTATTTTAATCTCATTCACTGTTCCCTATTTGTGGTGTGATTATTCACTTTTAAGAACGTGGTAACTCGATGAAATCCGGAGAAAGTACACCCATGATTTTTACAAGCAGTCGTGAATGCACATGTCAACGTTAATTGTTTTTACGATTCGATTAACAGTTTCGTTCAGACTCGGCGAAGTCCTGGACCCTTACACCAAGCTGTTCATGGTCATTCACGGAGACAGGGGAGACTCAGAGAAGATTTATCTGACACCAGAAGGAGGAAGACTGGAGCCGGGAAAGTTGTACACTGTTACTGTTACCACCACCGACGTAGGAAAGGTAAGTTACTTGTAACTACATGTAATAAGGGACGTAGGGGGTGGGGGTGGGGTAGAGTTATTTGTATATGTATACTGGACATTTGTCAAAAGATCTTTTGGAACTGCAATCGGTAAGAAGCGTTTTTCTCGAAAAAAAAAAAAAAAAAGGAATAAAGTTGGATTCGCAACAGATTCGTGCCATTTCCTCGCCAAATTGTTTCCCTACGAACCAATTTTTATTTGCATCTTGGTACGTTGTTTACTTTTTCGGTTATTGTAAATTACTTCGTTCGTAACGTGTTAGAATGATGTTTCCACTTTCTCTTCTCCCCCTTTTTTTAATACATCTTTTGTCGTCTTGGTTAGCCTTTGACTGGCATTTTCCAATGATACCAAACTTTTCTGGAAAACAAAAATAAGCAGAAGAGAACTTTATATTGAATAACGGCAAGTATTGATAAGTAGTAGCACCTCATGTGTGTGTGCCTTCCAAATACAGGTCCGTAACATCAGCATGGGTTGCGATGGTGCGTCCCCCAACCAGGGTGTGTTTGTAGAAGAGGTAGAGGTCACAGCGCCCAGTGGTTCTCCAGTGGTGTTCCCTTCTCGTTGCTGGTTAGCTGAAGATGAAGATGACGGGCAGACTACTCGGGTATTAGTGCCCGGACAGTCTTTGACTTCACAGTATGAAAGTAAGGAAAATTTCCGTTAGATTCTATAGTTTGATGTTTATTTTTGTTTTCATATTTTAAAGACATAAAAAAGTGCCATGATCGGTCGCATTCTCCAAGCGTATAGATGGGATTTTTTAAAAATCTTTTCAATTCTTCCTATTTTCTTTTGTAAGATACACGACATCTTTGTTACGTAATCTTTTTTGTTGCTTCCGTCAAGCTCATATAGACCAGGGGACATTCGTGTATCAGAAATTGTTCTCAAGCCCTAGTTGTTTATACTTTATTTATATTAAAAACTTCGTATTTCGTGACCTGGTAAGCTTTTTCTGACGATGTTACTCTGTATGTCACAAAATCTCTTTCTGCTATTTTGGTCTTATAGAAATATAACACATGATTGCTCTAGAAGTAGCTTATATGTACGTTTCGTTTCCTTTTACAAATGCACTCATTGCAAAACTTGTGTTAAACGCGCGAGAACCAACATGCTGAACGTAGAATCGCCAATTGTTTTGTCACATAATTCCAACGCTACGGTACGTCACGTAACTCCTTTGCTTTTTTCGTTACAGTCGGGTTTCGTCTTGGAGAAGTCCTGGACCCCAACACCAAGCTGTATATGGTACTTTATGGTGACAGAGGCGAGTCCGGGAAAATTTATCTTTTGCCTGATGGATCCAAGTTTGAACCTGACAAGTTCTACAAAGTATCTGTTAACATTAAAGATATCGGCAATGTAAGTCATTAATATTCTCGTCTCTTATTTTTAAACAGCTTCCAAGTGCAATACGTGAAATAATTTAACTTTTGGTTTAGAAACTTTTTTTTCTTTGATTTCAACCTATTGTTATGTACTGTATTAAACAATTGGTCACGCCCTTTCATTGCTAAGGTCTTTGAAGTAACCTTCTTTGCTCTCTATGATACGTTTCTCGTGTTCGTATATTCGTGTGTTGCATGAAGATTTAAAAGTTTAGTATTGAATCAAATAATAATCTCCTTGTTGATAATTATCTTCAGTGTATTTTAACACTTGTCTGCTGGATACTGTAGTGATATAGTGATATTCTGAAGAGAAATTACTTGCCTCACGTGGCAGTGAAAAGGTTAAACTGAAGCATAGCGCATTTTGTAATGATGAAATAGAAATCGAAAAACCTATTACCGCTGCAGATGCAAAACAGTGGACGAAAAAAAGTATGTTTGCCACCTATATACAATGATCGCTTCTTTCGCCTCAGGTGCAAAAAGTCCACATTGGTCACGATAGCAAGGGTCGTAATAAAGGACTTTTCGTGGAGGAAATCGAAGTCACAGCTCCTGATGCTCCCAAAGTAATTTTCCCTTGTCGCTGCTGGCTCGCTGAAAACGAAGATGATGGTAAAACAGCGCGTGTGATAGAGCCTGGTGAATCACTAACACAACCTTACGACAGTAAGTAGATGTGAGCCAGTCATGACAAATTCAATGAGCCTCGTACCTTCTGAAATATTGTTTCCCAGATGAAACGTTTGGCTAAATTGGACATGGCTGAGAACAAAGTTTTGCTAGACATTTGGAAAACTTCGTTTCCGAATCCGGCCCTATATGTCACCAAATCACAGCGCAAAACCAAGGGTATGGCTGGAAAGACGAATAGGGCCTTTTACATAATTTTGCAACCTCCAGATAAGTCTAGGTCTAAAATGAACTTTCAACCGCGCTTCAATTAGTACAAGAACAACATTAAGGCGTTTTTCAATATAGAGTTGTAAATCAAAGCCAAAGATATAACAATGGCCTTCCAAAACAAAGGTGTAAGTGAAAATGTACCAAAGAACATTCGCTGTAAATGATATGTAAAACTGTAAGTTGAAGTGCGGGAAAATGGAGGCAACTGATTGGTTGGCAATGTGGCGCGAATTTTTAAAACATATAACAGAGTGTTGAAGGAAACCTATGCGGTCGCGGATTACTCTCGACACGACTGAAAATGGTCTAATTCTTACTGCATGCCTGTTTTGATTTTTCAACAGTTGCCTTCCGTCTTGGGGAGGTGATGGATCCTCGAGCTAAGTTGTACATGATTCTTCATGGAAAAAAAGGCGATTCTGGAAAAATTTACTTAGCACCATCTGACGGCAAAAAGTTCGAACCAGGAAGGCTGTACACTGTGTCTGCAAATATTAGAGATATCGGACCGGTTAGTTACCAAACTTGTTTGTTAACCTTAAGTAGCAAGGCAAAAGGTGTGGTTATTGCATGTTGCATGATGTGATTTTATGCGTATATGGCGTGGTTAGATTTTGCAATTAGTATGATTCAGCTGTGATTGTGCTTCATATTTTTTCATCCCATGGGTAAAATCCCACGAAAAGTTTGATGTTTGCAATAGGAAAATAGACTTAATCCTTGAATTTGGGCATTGCCCTTCGTCAACCTTATCAGGAATCTGTCTTCTCATTTTCCTTATGACTTAACTATTATTGGTGAATACAAAGTTATCTGGAGTGTGTGAAGTGAAGTTTATAAAACTTTTTTGTGTTTTTAGATCGAGAAAATCAGTCTTGGAAATGAAAGTCGTGGACCGGGCCATGGTGTTTTCGTGGAGGAAGTCGAAGTCGCAGCGCCAAACGAGGAACCTGTCATTTTCCCGAGCCGCTGTTGGTTGGCAGAAGACGAGGGAGACGGATTGGCTGTTCGAGTTCTGAAACCTGGAGAAACTATGCAACCCACATACGACAGTAAGTTTAAATTGAGTAAGCGCAGGAAAATATGTACACCGTGGGAAATAGAGCCTGGAAGAGATTTTACCTGTGGAAGGCGCGGGAAATGTTGTACCGGGCGGAAAGTGCGGAAAAAGCGATGGCATCGGTTAAAAGCGTCAGGGAAGATGCGCCTATAAGACTTGAACGTGAACACCTGCCAACAACAAGGAATTTGTCAATACGAGCCTCGATCCTCGAAGTTTTCGAGAATCGATGATCGAGTTTGAGGTACTGTAGTAGTGGTTATGGAAATGGGTCAGATTTTTAGAGTGTACTCTTCAGGTCAACTGAATTGCATGTGTTCACGTTTAGTCAGATCTTAGAGCGAAAGTAAAGAAGGCAACTTCTGCAGGATTGTGTTCTTCTCACCTGCCATAGAGTTTGGCTCTCAAGTAAACTTTTTGTCTCTTGTTTTGTAGTTCTGTTCCGTCTGGGAGAAGTGCGAGACCCTTGGGCTAAGCTGTATATGATCCTGTACGGAGATAGAGGCGAGTCAGGCAAGATATACCTCACACCTTCTGATGGGACAAGATTTGAGGCTGGAAAGCAGTACAGAGTATCAGTGAATATCAAGGACATTGGAAAGGTATCATGGTTTTTTTCTTTTTGTTTCTTTTTTTTTGTTTTTTTGTTTTTTTTTTTTTCATTTTCAGAACTCTGGCAAAATCCTCAATTGTTTTCTTTTGCAGAAACTTTTTTTAATGTAACAAGTTGCAGGGCGTATTGTTAATTCTCTTCAGTTTGACTCTTGCACCTTTTGCACTCAGTTCAACGCCATACACAATCTTAGGACCTTATCAATTCAATTCGATTTCATTTAAAATAAATTACTGCTTACATTTTTAGATCAACAAAGTGTTTCTTGGTAGTGATGCCCATGGAAGTGGACGGGGAATTTACGTTGAGGAAATCGAAGTACAATCCTCTGGTGAGGATCCTGTGATCTTTCCTTGTCGCTGTTGGCTCGATGAAGGTGAAGGAGACGGCAAAACAGCCAGAGTCTTAATTCCAGGGGAGACAATTCATCCGCAGCTAGACAGTAAGTAAAGATATGAATTTCACTGTATGTGCAGAGCAAACAAAATAACAGAAGTGATCTTGTCAGCCACTACTGCTGACAATCACAGAAGTGATTGTTACACTGTTATTTCTGTTATCAGATCCATTTAGACAAATTCCAGTAATCGAACCAACGAAATCAAGCAATTGTTAACTAAGGTCTCTTAAGCAAATTAACCAATCACGTGAAAGAAAACGTGTGCCAAGGACCAAAGAAAGCAAAGATGGCAAAGGAGGAGAGGGGAAGGAAAGAAGGAATTAATTCCTGGTTTCTCTTATGGGATTGGGCAGTTTTTTCTTTTTATGACTCTGCTTATAGTAGTCGCCTCGTATGAACAGTGACTTGTTTTTTCAGTTTCATTTTTATGTGGATCAGTTCCGTTCATTCCAAGTTGTTTTTCGCTGGTCTTCTTGTATTTTTATTTTTGGCCCTAATTAAAGAGCTTTAGAACTCAAGGATGATTTTTTATTTAATTTTGTGTGGCCCTGACCTAGCATCAGTGATCGGGAGACCTTTATTTAGGGTTATTACGAAGGTGTTGTGTAACCAACACTTAATGTCACCAACGCGTTGTCAAGCACCCACTGCGGTGAAGATAATAATAACTTCTGGCACTATCTCCGTCAGGTACTCTGTACAACATGACGTTCGAGACAGAGGACGTTCCCTTCGCTGGCACGGATGCTACTGTTTATGTACAGCTGTTTGGAGAAAAAGGACAGACAGAAAAGATTGAGTTTCGAAGTGAAGACAAAAAGGAGGCGCCAAAGTTTAAACGCGGAAGAATCGACAAGTTTGCTGTGGAAACTGCTGATGTGGGAAAGGTGAATAGACTGGATTGGTTGTTAAACAATCCAAGGTCGAGCTCTGGGTATGGCGGTTGTGCGTGTGTGTGTTTTACTTTTTTTCTAGTGAATGAAACTCTCACATACGGGCAAACTGTGTGACAACTTTACCGAAGAATAGTCTGGGACTCCACCCACAATGGAAGGAGAGATATGTAATTGGAATCCAACTGATACTGGGACGAGTTTGCATTTATCTTCGTGATCTGAATTCAAGGAAAATATAAGTCAATCCTCTACTTGTAGTTAAGTAGAAGAATCGAAAAACAAGACGAAAACGTTAGTATTGTGTATGATATATCTTTAGAATAAATAGCGATCAGAAGTATAACTGGCTGTCAGTGTAAAAGGCAGCGAAAACCTTAGACAGACGCAGAGTTGATAATATGAACTTTGTTTAATCAGACTCGTGTAAAATGACTGCTCTGATTCGTGTCACGTGATCCACCGAGGTGGGAACAATGTATATCTCCTGTATGCTCACGTGCTACTGTCAGAAAGGTGTAATTTATAATCCCAGGGAATAAACGACAGGTTTTTTTTTTCAGTTGCCTTTGAATAGTTTCTCTTTCTCAGCGCGTTAGGAAAACAGATAGCACTCTTTCAACTGACGATAACGTGTTTGATTTCAGCTGACGAAACTTCGTGTTGGCCACGACAACACTGGCCGTAACCCGGAATGGTATCTAAAGAAACTCTCTATTGAAATCCCATCACGAGACGAGACTTATGTGTTCGAGTACAACAACTGGATTGCAGGAGAGGAAGTCAACTTGGATCCAAGTATGTTCAAAATGCTTCTTTAGTCAGGATATGCCAGTCACCTGGTTGATTCCAATTCTGACCTCACTTTAATGAAGAGCATATTTTTAGAACATTTAGGTCCATCATGAACGGTTTAAAAACTATGTAGAATATTTGTTCTATACTTTATAGTTTACTCCATTGAATTCGTGTCCTGATTTCATCAATTTGCAAGTTGTATTAATTTTGAATTTTTATAAATGAATTGTTTTTTTGCGTGTTAATGATGTAGTCTCTCTAATGTTATAGAAATTGTTGTTTAATGATACTCCATTCTTTTTTTTTTCCAGTCGATGAAAAAACAAGGACTGAGCTATATACCAGTAAGTTTCAGGGGTACTGGATTCTGAACATACGCCAATGTTATTTCAGCTATACCGCAAGGAGTGATTATAACCCAGAAACAAAGAAAGACTTTACATATTACTAAAACCATCAGTGTAAGATTTATCAATAGGTCACTTCTCTCAAGTTGTTCTTTCGTTATATCCAGGAGCAAAGAGATATGGACATTAACGAATGTTTAAGCAACAGAGGTGTGCGTGAATTTGTGTTAAGTGCATAGTTTTACCCAATCTAAACAGTGTCCTATCCTTTTCAATCATCTCCGTCTCACTTATCCTATCAGTCGTCTTTTTGGCCTACCTTTGACTGAAATTTGAATGTAATTTTATAAATCGTAAAATCATCTTCAGAATCATTTTCTTGTGAACTTTAGGTATAATTTATGTATCAGAATTCGATCAGGTTCTTATAAAGTAGGAATGGGGAGGTTTTATTTAGTAGACATACTAATTTGCGCCCTCTGCAGTTCATCTTAAGCTGGGCGAAGTTGCCGACCCCTATGCTCCAGTGTGGATCCAGCTTGTTGGTGAGAGGGGAGAAAGTGGACAGATTCAAATCAAGCCTGGTTATGGTCCTAATGACAAGTTCGAGAAAGGCCGCATTTACAAGGTGGTGGCAAGAGTTGCAGACATCGGACGGGTGAGTTCGGGGTTGGAAATCCCAGGGCAATTAAATTTCCCAAGAAAGTATTTTGTGAAAATGAGTTTGGGAATGCCCCCTATCGTTTTGAGAGGTGTAGAGTGGAAGGTGCAATTGTGGATTGAATCCCAATGTTTGACCATTCAAATGAGACTTGTCGACATAGGCTTTGAAATTTTCCATTTGTCTTGTGCCTGCGCTTTTAAGATTTTTTTTCCACCTTTTTAATCGAAGTGTGTCACCATTCAGGGAAACGCTGTGAGTTGAAAAGTAATTCAGAGTGAAGGCATGAAACTTGAGAGTGTTTATCCACCTTAGCTGAGACTTAAAACTTCTATGTAGCCATTCATTACTGAGCTGTCTTGCCTTCACTTCCATTAAATAACGTGCAGCTAACCATGACATGCATATAGTAACAATGCTCTACAAATGACTACTGTGCTCGTAAGTTCTCACGCATTGCATAAAGAGCTGTACTCTTCCTAACTAAAACCGTAACGCTCACCTCTCCCCTGTGTACAGATTTGTCGTGTTCGTGTGGGTCAGGATGTAAATAAGTTCTCCCCACCCCCACGGGAGACCTATGAAGAGGTAGGGGAGACTCCTGTGTCCGTTGTATAGTAAGGTGGAGTGAAATCGGTTCTTCCTTGTGTAGTCCGTAGCATTATTTCAAACCATCAGTTTAACTACTGGTTATCCTAGATTCAGACTCAGAGTAAAATTCTTTTGGCAGAATAATCTTTTCGTAAATTGCTCGAGGGATATTGTCATGCGTTTGCTATTTGAGCACACTTTGAGGGTATGACATTTTTTAAATCGTTTGTTGCACAGTTTATACGCTTGTTCGCATCGCAAAAGTCAGCAGGTCATCACATGGTTAGACTGGATCATATCATCTGCAAACCATTCATGACTTTCAGTTTTTGTTTTAAGTGGATTTTCTTTGTTCACTATTTTAAGTTTGGATTACTTACGGTGAAATGAGGTGTTCATGTTGTTATCGTAAATTTCAATCAACACACGAACACAGCTAATCAACACAAGAACACAACCAGCACACTGACTTATCAATAGACAGTGAGACACACAGGCAAGCTTTAATACGAAAACTGCAGAAGCAGACGAACAGGCAGACAGAGACAGTCTGACACAGTGAAAACTGGAATTATAAGACATACACCGTTCTCGTAACAGCACGGATATGTAAAAAACCTTTTCGGCAGATAGACAGACCAAGAGAGGGCGTACGAATGGACTGGCCTGACTATCTTCTGGTATATTCTAATTTCTTGCTCTCTATTCACTTGCCCTGCCTTGTTTAGATCGTGGATGTCAAAGTTGGCCAAGATGCAGGCCACACTGGTATCCCTAGTAAAGGTCTTTACGTTGAAGAGGTTGTGGTGACTGCGTCACGTGGAGATGGAGTGGTCTTTCCTTGTCACTGTTGGACTGGGGACGAGGATAAAATAGCCGTGGAACCAGGCCTGGGAAATGAAGTGCCTCTTGGTAAGTCACCGTAGCGGAAAGGGATAAAATGCCCCAGAAACCACATAATTTCCATCTCCCTTCCCCCGCCCCCCTAGAAAGGTATTCATAGAATTTAATTCTTACCACATTTGATATTCGGAACCGTATTCTGACCGTTCGAAGGTTGTATTCAAATGTGCTAAAATCCGGCTATGCACACCTTCGTTTTGAAACCAACTCCTTAGTTTGGCCGCAAATGCAAAACCGCAACTTGTTGTTCATAACACCGCTTTGTCCACAGTAGCAGTTGTATGATTTTTAAGCAGATGGCCAAGAGATTGATATAAAAGAAGAAGTCACATCGTATCAAGAAATGGCCCATTGTTCCGGGTCAACTTTCCAAACAAAAGTCCTGAGTAATTGGTAGTCCTGAGGGACTTTGGCCGAAGGGAGGCGGAAAAGCTCGTAACTGATCGAGAAAATTATCGGAGTAATAATTTTGCTGCACTGGGGGAGTGGGTGGAAGGCTAGGTTTTTTTAAGCAAGATTTATGATAGCGGAGTCCGTAGTCCAATTTTTAGCAGCTTTGAAGTCAGTTCTCGAAAGGTCGGGTTACTCTTAGGAATTCTGTGTCTCCACAAAGTATACAGTTCGCTTGTTACAAAGTAGCCCATTATTTGGTCTTACTTACTTATGAGTTTCCTTCATTACCCACAATCCTTTCCTTCGTTCTGTCTCTTCAGATACCACTTATCAAGTAACATTCAAGACTGGTGACAGACCAAACGCTGGCACATCGGCTAAAGTGCAGTTTGAACTATTTGGAGACAACGGTAAAACCGAGCCTATTTTACTTAGCGAAGACAAGAGTCTGCGACTGTTTGAGAGAGGAAACAGCGATAAGTTTAAGGTGGACACACGGGATGTTGGAAAGGTGTGTTTATAGTTGTTCAGAACTAAGAGCTTCCCTTCCATATTTTCCTCGTGAAGAGTTGTTTTCCTTCTCAAGTCACCCTTCCGTATCAATACAGCTATCGTGGGTAACGTAGGAGAGACGATGCCTTACTCAGCTTTTGGTAGAAGTCTGCAACCTAATACCAAGACCGTGACTGTCTTTCTTGTTCTTATATCGAAGAGTTGTAAAGTCGCTGTAAATAATAGGTTTTACTAGGATGGCATCAAGATCTCAAAAGCGGGTTTTCTTTAATTTTTTGTGTTTCAGATCGAGAAGCTTCGCGTGAATCATGACAATTCTGGACGCGATCCTGACTGGTATCTAGAGGAAGTGACCATTGATGTCCCGGATAAGGGCGAGCAGTACATCTTCCCTTGTCATCGCTGGCTCATGGGAAGTCAGCGGAATGTTGACCTGATACCTGGTAAGTAAAGAGAGATTTCATGTGAGATTTTCTTTGTGTAAGTCTGTCAGCGTCACAAATGAAATATCTGTGTTAGACAAACACGACTTTAAAAAAAGTGGAGGAAGAGAGGTGGAATCGTTATATTACGACTGAAAAAGCAAGTGAAACGGTTTACTCCGTTTAATGTATTTTGCGACGACATGCAAAACCTGACATTTTTTTCTCTTATCTTTTTTGCAGCTGAAACAAAAGATTTGTCACAAGGTAATAAGATGATCAGTAGCTAAATTACTTCATCTTTTATTTTTCAACGTCATTAGAGAAATTAAGATTCTGAAGTGTTAACGATTACGATATCAAACTGTACGTTTTAAACGAAAAACAAATAACAGCGTGTTACGAGTAAATTCATTTTACTCAGCTTAAAACTATTGGTGTTGTTGCGCATGCACTGATTTATAATTTTTATCTTTATTTATAGAAGTGGATTATCGCATCATGATAAAGACTGGAGACGAAAACGACGCTGGCACAGACGCCAATGTGAATTTCCAGATGTTTGGAGAAAAAGGAAAGACACAGAACTTTTCTCTCAGAGAAGAAGGAGATAAAAAGAGATTTGAAAAAGGAAGAATGGACAAGTTCTTGATCCGGACACGAGACATCGGAAAGGTATTGATAGAGTTTGTTTTTTGTTTGTTTGTTTTTGGTTTCTTCTCTGGACTTAGGTTTTATTATTTCATGTTAACGTTTGTCATTTTGCATTTCCTGTCACTTTTTGGAATCGTACTTCTGTATCTGTTCATCTTGGTTTAATATATTCTCAGTGGTCCTGAACATGCGCGTTTGATTCTTTCCCCCCCAAGAGAGTTTCAACCGTTGTCCTGAAACTTAAAAAAAACACTTGCTTAGGACAACTTTGAACGGAGCGAGAGAATAAATTCCTTATTTTTGGAACATATTTCTTTTGAAAAAGTTTAAAGTTGTTTGGTCGGATTGTGTTAATGATTTTGCAGCTGTTTGTCACGTGTTCCTTGTAGCTCTGGGTGAAATACCCGTCCGGTTTTCACGAGTTCACACGGGGTTTCACTCCCTTCGCAGAGTGGGATTAATTTTGTTCAGTCTCCCGTTCTTAACATATGGATCCCACAAATTGCTCGTTTGATTTAAAGAAGTTGTCTTTTATCCCATATAGCTGACTTCTGTTCGTATCAGCCGGGATAATAAAGGCGTTAAACCTGGTTGGCTGTTGGATAAAATAACTATTGACGTAGACGAGAAGGACGAACATTACGTGTTCTATTGCAACCGCTGGCTCGGAGGCTCGGACATTGCGATCGATTTTACTCCAGGTAATGCTGTAAGCTCTGTTGAGCGTGCGTTAAGGTAGCGAATGATAACATCATACTGTAAGTTTTGGTAACGAGTAATCGAAGAGTGTAAAACTTTTCACAACCGATCAGAAACTAGTGTTTTCCCAAAGTAAAGCGATGAAAAAGAAGAAGTATTTCGTGTTAAAAACAAAAGAAAAAGAGAGAAGTTTTGACGTTCCTGTTACAGTACTTAGCCCATCCTGAGATTTGTTATGTTCAAACGAGTGATTTGATGTAGCTAAAATATATTTGAAGGTGAATTTGTGTATGTATTAACTGAATTTTTGGCAAATTTCTTGGCACATTTTGTTGGGTTTTGATTTTGTTGTTGTCTCCTCCTACTTAACTAGAGCAAGGCTCATTACCAGGACAGGAAGGAATGTACACAGGTAAAGATTAGATTTCCTTTTTTGTCTGTCACCACATGATCAAAATTGTAGCAGAGTAGATGTTGGCCTTGAGGGAAACGAATGCCCTCAAAATTGTATGTGTCTCCAGAAAGCCGTAGAGGCACATTAGTAGATTTTAATGATCAATGTTCGTCGCATCTGAGCAAATTCGTTCCTACCCCTTCACTTAGTCTACATAAACCCTAACTTGTCATCAGTTGTATGTTGTAGTCAGGAGGGGTAGGTGTGCAGTTGCTTAGATACTGACATTGATCCCCCTAAAGTTATGTTTCACTTGACCTTTGTCATACCTTTCAGCGTCTCATACACATTGGTAGCAAGTATAGCGAGGATAGTCAAAACAGTCAGCTTGTTATTTTTGTAGTTCTTCTTAACCTTGACACGCTATTCAATTCAAAAGGTGAATTCAAAACAGTCAGTCACGTGTTAAATCTGAATAGATTTCGCTATCCTTGAACTAATTGTGTCTCATTCAAATTGCTTCCTTGGCTTAGTGAGCGTCAAAGTTGGAGAGGTCCTGGACCCTGATGTAAATCCTTTCTATCAAATCGTTGGAAGAAACGGTGAAACTAACAAGATCAGGCTGCGAGAGGGTTACTCACGGTCTCATGTTTTTACTAAAGGAAACACTTACAAAGTGTCTGTTAAGAGCCCGGATGTTGGTGAGGTAAGGTCAGCAATAATGTAGTTGCTACTTGCTTGTCAGTCTGTGTAGAATGATTACATACTGGTTTTGTGTTTCTGCTCGGTACCATGTGTACAGAGAATCTGAAGTTCTTGGAAAATCTCTAATTAAGTCATAAATTTATATTCATGTATTCTTCATTTCTTGAGGAATTTTAAAAACTGATAAAATATGGAAAGAAATTTCCTTTTTCAATAAGTGTTTAATCATTGTAGAAATATCTGATATGAAGTTTAATTTCTTGTAATCGAACTTTTTTTGCACGTTATAAGAGCTCTCCGATGTCTATTTGCAGATAACAAAGCTTCGCATCGGAGATGACGGGTACGGTCGCGGCAAGACTATGTTTGTGGAAGAGGTGACGGTTACCAGCAAGGACGGTGATACTGTACTGTTCCCATGTCGTTGCTGGCTAGGAAAGGATGACTCCAACACCAAAATAATCCGAGAACTTGTCCCAGGAAAACCTGTACCAGAAGAACTGGAAGGTAAGTGTAATTTTAAGTCAAATTTCTTACCCCACCATGACGCTCTTGTTTTCGAGAATTAAAAGAAGATCTCATTCGTGCAACTGCGATATCGTTCAAATAGCGACCTTTGCTTTCATTGGTAAAATTGTGGCCATGAATTTGTGGAATACGGAACAGAAGGAAATGAACATTGACACCATAAAATCTCGCTGTACCCTTGTTAACGCGGGATTTTTTAGGTGGGCTACCATGTATGCACTCCCGTCAACCAGTCAGATTTTACAATTTTGTAAAGTGCACGATGTTTAAACATTTAATAAAATTCATGGAAGCTCGGTGGTCAAAGATTTGTTTAGAAGTAAGTTTTTCCTTGGTTTTTTTTTTTTTTTTTTTTTTTTTAGACATTTCATATCACATGACAATAAAAACCGCAGATGTACAAAACGCAGGAACCGACGCAAACGTCTATTTTGCGCTGCACGGCGACAAAGGAGAAACGCCAAAAATCGCTCTACAGGACGAAAGCCAGACATTCAAACGTTTCGAACGAGGACGAGCTGATAAGTTTGTTGTACAAACAGCAGATGTTGGAAAGGTAGGAAACTGAATTGGTTAAATTAACTTCAAAATATAAATTACTGAGGTGCAGTAGTATCGAAGAAGTTGAATAGACCCATGCAAACACGAACCACCAACTCAGGACCATTTACCTTAAGGTACATTTTTCACTACTGTACCATTGATCCACTACATCCAACTATCCGATATTTTGTATTGCATTCTGTTGTTGGTTAAAACGACTGCTGAATGAGCGGACAAACAAAAAAGAACGATTATGAAATTATATAAAATCTCCTTTTGCCGAAAAACTTCCCCATCCTATTTTACGGTGACTTCACCAAGCTGAGGATCTTTTCTGTTTACTTTTGGCAAACGTTCGTTGAACAGCTTGAAAAGCTGGTTATCGGTCATGACAACGGAGGAGAAGACCCCGGATGGCTCCTGGAGGAAGTTGATGTCGATATCCCCGTACGAGATGAACATTACAAATTCCGCTGTGACGGGTGGCTCGGTGGTGAACGACCTGGTCAGGGGAAGGAAGCAGTCTTATACCCAGGTAAATATGAAGGGAAATACGTACAATTATTATTTTGGTATCCTAAAGTACTGGCTCTTGGAGAGTAAGGGCTGTCGTATGATAACCTGTATCTCACCCTCCCTAATGTTGATGGCCGCAAGAAAGCAACAAAAACATTACTGAAAGTGAGGCATAATTAAAGACCTCCTTGGAAAGATAGTGAGAATCGGGAGACAAATTTTTTGTATGTAGATGCCCACATATTTCAGTTTCAAGCAATGTTTGTGACCAAGTTTTGTTCTGCTGCAGTGGATGACAATGACGGAGGAGTTAAACCCACCGACTTACAAGGTATGTCAAGTAGTGATACCGTTGTGAGTGAAAAAATTTTTCTTTGTTTTTTCAGTTGGTCGGTGTTACTGAAGCGTGGTCATCTTCTAGGCTAATCTGAGTCATAAGTGCATATCAGTATAAACAACATATATATCTTTATAGTGGGAATATTTTTATGAATTTTATTTTGTGAAGGCATTTCTGAAACTAATTAATTGAGTTGTTTCATGCTTTTTAATGACGCATTTTCGTTTTACTCTCGGAAACTGGAGCCTCCGGGTTTGGTGATAAGAGAGATTTTTCTGTCTTCTCTAGCTTGTGTTGTTTCAAAAGCGGGAAATGAAAACATTTATTCCGATCGAAGAAGTATTTCTGAAAATTAAATGCTATCTTTGTTTATGCAAGGAGATACAATAGAACCCCATTAACTCGAACGGCCCAGAAAAACGAAAACAGGTCGAGATACATACCAGGAAGTCCGGCTTAAGCTGACAGTGAGCGACTGATAAACGTGCTTCAAGAGAAATGGCTTTGAATTTAAGTTCGCTGGAAGTACAAGTTTATCTAGTTCGGCTGAAAAGGGTTCTATTGTAGTTGTTTTGTTCATTTAAGGAAAGATGAAGAAGTCACAATTTTTTAGTTTAATGAAGCTGAGGAGACTTTCAGTAGCTTCAGTCGCTGGAATGGGAGGGGGGCATCCCAGGCAGTCTTATTGTTTGTGGAAGAATGTGACTGGAAAGTAATCGGTATTTCTAGGAAATATTTCGCCTGAATCGCTTAGCCTCCATCAGTCTGTTAGAGTGAGTGGTTACACAGCATAAATAATGAGTCGCTTAGAGTGGCCCTCCGATGAGAGTATGGTTTCGTAGATCCCTATAACCCCCTTTACTTTCCATTACGTTTCACATTCTTCTATCCATTATTTTTTTAGAATGTGGAATGAAGATATTCGCTTCTAGTTTTATTGTTGTAACTTTTCTCCTTATCCTGACACAGAGGGGTTTTATAAGCACCTCCAAGAGGTCGCTTTCCGAAAGACTCCACTATGGGTTTCATTGCACGTAAGAGATTGGGCTACGTAGCAAGTTAGAAATGAAAAAGACTCCGTTTCCTTATTTAATTTGGCGTACGCGTGTAACGTACCTCCTAAGCTTTCCTTTTACTGTATCTCCAGACGCCGAATATGACGTGGAGTTTAAGACTTCCGCTGAAGAAAACGCTGGCACAGACGCCAACGTTTATTTCCAAATGATCGGCGAGGACGGCGAGACTCAAGAAATCGACCTCAAAAACAAAGGAAAGGGTTACTTTCACCGGGGACAGCTGGATAGATTCAGGATCAGGGCCAGAGATGTTGGTCGGGTAAGTGAAAGAGTAAACACTAGTCTTTTTTTGCGAATGGAATATAAAAACGGAGCAATCAATTTTTCCCTCCCTTCGTCTGCGCCAAAGCTTGATAGATTGGTATTAGTATGACTTCGTGATCCAAGAATTGATCTTGCTTTAAAACATTCATCATGAGCACAAAACGAAGAAAAAGTGTAAGTCGAACCTAAGACCAATCGCTTTGATAATTTAATGCTCGACCAGCTGAGGTACAGGAAACCCATTGGTAATGAAATGGGTCATACAATCATGCCTTGCAGTGTGGGCTCCTTCGTGGTCTTAAATGGATATCATCCTCTTTTCACCTTACAGCTCAAGATGCTTCGCGTAGGCCATGATAATTCCGGCTCTAATTCTCGTTGGTTGTTAGATGAAGTTGTAATTTTTTCTTTGGCCCGTGGTGAGCGCTACGTGTTCAAAGGAGGCCGCTGGATCGGTGGACGAACCAATGAGATCGATCTTCCACTTGGTGAGCTGCAAACCAATGCAAATTTTGTTTTTATTCGTATTTTCAATGGCTATAAAATCGTCACGAAGCTATTGCCTGTCTTGAGAAATTTTACCAAACGTTGTTTCTTTCCTTTGCACCTTTTTAATAAAGAGAAAAACTAAATAGGTCTAATGAGGGTTCCTTACATGTAGTTTGAAAAAACCAATCTGAACAAAAGCGTGCAAAATCTTATGGCCAAATATGAATACAGTGGATACCTTAAGTAAGACTCTTGCTTGACTGGCGTAAATTATTTCTTTGGACTTTTCGGCAATCCATTTAGTTGTTCTTAGTATTAAAACGTACGTACGTTTTTTAGTGAATATCTAATATTACTCCGAACTGAATGTTTAGTTTCTTTCTTTATTTTAGATTCTTGGAATTACGGCCGACTAGGTGAGGAAACACAGTCATCCGAATAAAGGGCCTGTAAACAGATGAATATTATTCTTTTAGAGGGGAGATCCGCTAAAGTAAATCGCAGAAAAGTACCATAGTGTAGGAAAATTGCAAACAGATATCGTTCATTGTGATGTTGGAAGTTCAGTAAGGGCTTAGTTTGGAACGTTGTACATTAAGCAATACATTTCGCGCTCGATTTTCCCAAAGTTAAGATGAAGGTAGTTCCATAAAACACCTTATGACTCAAAATTTAAGCACTCTAAAAATTCCAATTACGAAACAGCTGACATTTGTTTCTAATGTTTTATTTGCTTGGGCCTCTCTTCTCATTTCTCTCAACACCCTTAAGTTCACTGAGCGTTCAATTATCGCGCAAAAATATGATCCAACACTGAGTAGAGTATTCGTTTTGAGAAATCTTTTTTCTTTTTTTTTTCAATTTATTATCTGATCCCATTTCCACACTGTGTTCTTTTCAGTTGGTCAAGAGCCAGATATTCCAGATTTGATTGACTACATGCAATCCGGAGATGAGGTCAAGATCATTAATGCTGCTGGATATTTACAACATTTATGTTACAGTAAAGAATATGTGAAGGATAAAGTCAGGTATAGCACATTCTTTTGCCATATCTAGTGTCATTGAGTTGACGATATTGTAAGCGGATTAAGATAAACCACTTTTCACAGGTGTGTGTGTCACCTGCATGTGTAAGTTATTACACTGAAAATATGTGTAATGTACAAAACCCAGTCAAAGAAAGAACTCTTTTTGTATTTGTTTTTGGCAGGGGTTCTTTCTTCAGGTGTTCAGTTTAATGCATTACACTTGTAAGCATTACCTTGTCACAAAAGTTTCAGGGACTAATTTGATAACTGTCATACAACGTGTCTATGTACAATCATTGTGGGTGTAACGAATCCTCCACTTTCTAGCGGACCAACCCTTCTTGTTTCGATTGCACGTTTTGAAAATAACAGGTTTTATAAAAAATGTGGAATCGTTTCCTTGGTAAAGGATTCGCTCTTATTCTCTTGTTCTTATTGTACTTCAATGATGCAATAGATTTAGAAGGCCTGCAAATTAATTTCTTAAGAAATTGAGGTGAATTCTTTAGTATAAATTTCTCACTACCCACCAGCTTTTAGCTCTTGGGTTAACAATCTAATTGTAATTCTTAGTTTTGCGTTTTAACGCAACGGATCGCATCTGACTGTACTACTAGGCTGGTTCAGTTGTGTTGAACTTTTTTGTTACTATCTGACTCACTTATCATTTTGTTGGAATTTATGTTTGAATAGAGACCTTGGTGGAATTCCAGTGATTGTCAGGTTGCTGAGACATTCTGAATGGCGTGTTAGATATGCTGCCGTTTGTCTTTTGAGGAACCTCTCATTCAGTATGAAAAATGACGCTAACAGGGTAAGAATACCTCTAACTTTTCTCTGTGTCCACTTTTAGTATACTTTCTTCCTCTTTTTCATCTTTTTCATGCAAAACGTGACTCATTTGCTATAAAATTGTCAACGTCGTTGACACCATTTCAGTCATTTCAGTCACTGATTATGCAGAATGAAACTGTCACTTTCTTTCCCCGTAGTGTTTGAATTTAAGTGCAATAGGAAGCTAAACATGCATTAAACACCATGAAATTAAAGTAATGGAACCGAAATGGGTAACATTTTCAACTGAGCACGCTAAGGAAACGTTCTACTAATTTATCTAATATACGGTCCAATGTGTTTTTTTCCTCGGTGAAAATGGTCATCTTTACTAAATAACGAAATTGCTGTTAATGTAGTGCCTTCATGATGAGTGATCACAAAACTTTCGCTTCAGTCCTTCTCATTTTATTTTTCAACATATAAATTTTTTTATTTCATCAGTTGGCCATAGCTGACTGTGGTGGAATTGAAGCTCTTATAGAAATCCTGCAGGAAACGGAAAAGACAGAGGTAGGTAGGCCAGCTATGATGCGTTTGATTCTCTTTTTGAAGACGTCATTTTAACCTTTTTCTTTTGTGTTTTGCTCATGTAGTACAGAGAGGCAATTTTAGGAGTTCTATGCAACTTATCGTCGGTTGAGGTGAGGCATTTTGGCGCAACATGTGTCTATTACTTTACACAACTTGAAGTTATTTCCATTTTATAACATTTTCAGTTATTTCACGTTAGCTAACTCACACTTGCCTAAATCTAAAACAGAACCATTTTGAAATTCCTCAGCAGATTTTATCTGGGTGGTACTGTAGTTACCTTAATAAAAATATTGCTTCCTTGTCTTTCCCAGTCGCTTCATCTCAGAATCCTCTTGGTTTGCCTGCATATTATCGTTATTCTTATCATTATAACATACTCTGAGTGGACGGCTGTGGCAGCACGTGGGCAGCCGCCAGTAAGGGCTGAACCTTGGCCAGCGGTTCTCGTTCATGCCACAAGACTCGTGCGCAATCTTTCGTCGGCCGGCACCAGGGCCCGGCAAGAACTGAGGGACGAGAAAGACTTGATCGACTGTCTAGTCTGGATTGTTAGAGTTGGTGTCAAGAGTGAACAGTATGATAATAAGGTAAGGTATTGATCAGCCATCGTTGGTCTACTACTATCGAAAATATGTTTAAATAAAGAAACAAACAGAAGTGAGACATGTTGTCCTGTGTGGCATGTTCCTCAGGAACCATTTGGCGAAGACAACCATTGGCCTGTAACGGAGCAGAAATGCTAAAGATGCTTGTTTTTCGGTCTTGTCCGTTTCCCCGCGCGAATTTATTCGAAAACAATCTCGCTTGTTTTAATTACACCTATCCTTATAAAGATTTAACGGTTTTGTAAAAATTAACGATTTATTCGATTTTAAAATACTTTATGATTTGCTAAATATGATACTACAGTAGAACTCAAAGATATAGAAACGACATCAGGGGAAGATTGCACATTTTGAGGCATTTCAATAAAAAATATGGAGTTTGAGTTCACCACCAAATTGAAGAGACAGCTCGTCACATTTTCGTTGTTGTTAGTGGTTTACTTGCCGCTAATTTTTAATCTACAGCCGTTCTAAGTTTTAATCAACGTAGAGGTTACAGCAAGTGCTTTGACAAAGTAGATATGTACTTCATCTCCCCATTAAGCTTTTCAACCGTTAAATGCAAACTGGCTGGAATTCGAATCCCTGACTGTAACTTTTCTATGTCTCACCTTCGTGGCAATTTTTGACACTTTCCCCATGCAGTTCTGAAGGTTTAACTTAGAAATTAATTTTTCCCCTCTCTTGCTTTAGTGCCTTGAGCATTCGGTGTGCACACTAAGAAACCTGTCTTACCGGCTGGAAAGTGAGATCGACAGGGATCGCTATGACGACGCTGACGTTGACGTGGACCCTGCTGCCGTCAAAGAACAACAAAGCCAGGGTTGCTTCGCCGGGTGCGGTGGAAGAAAGAAGAAAAAAGTGCCTAATGACAAGAGACCCATGGATCGACCGAGGGGTCCACCGCAAGGGGTTGAACTGATTTGGCAGCCAGAAACAGTCCAACAATATTACGTGCTGCTACGGAAGGCAAAAAACATCGAAACCTTAGAGGGGTCGGCAGGGGCTCTGCACAACTTGACAGCTTGTTCTTGGAAGGTAGGTCCTTGGCCGGTCTCAAGTACGGGAAAATGTCTACGGAGGAAGCAATAAGGAGGAACTAGAGAGTCACTTACTGACCGTAGTGAAGATTTCTCGAGTGTTGACATTGTACTATTCATGGCACAATTTCAAATTTCAATCTCAACTGAATGAAAAAAGATTAAGGCTCAGGTGTAACACTTTTGCAAGCTCGTTCGAAAAGAATTCCAACCAAACACTGGCCTGGTTGTATTGTTGTGAACTATCATTGCACGCTTATCGTGGTTCTCCGTGTATCAAATCTGTTTGTTGTCAAAACGGTTTACTTTGGATTTTGCTTTCAGCAAAAGGGTCTTGAAAGCTTATGATAGGTTTATCATGGATTGCATAATTTTTAATTTTTCTTCAGTGGGCAATCAAAATCCGTGGGGATACAAGACGAGCACAAGCAATCCAACAGCTTGTGGAGCTTTTAAGAATTGACTACGATCCAACAATCCGCGCAGCAGCCATTGCCCTTCGGAACATGTGCGTTGACTCGGAAAACAAGAAAATTGTTGGTAAGACTCTTCTTTGATTCGTCTTAGTATGCACTGTTTCTTATGCACCATTATGCCTTGGCCCGTTTCTTGAAAGGCCTGGTTCACCGTTTCAATCATGCATTTGTTCGTCTAAAGGAGTTGTACCACTATTAAATAAGATGGACCAAATAGCGGTAACTTTCTGGAGACAATTTCAGACGACGTTGTCATTATTTACCTATTTATTCATTTCAGGCGAGAAAGCCGTATTACACCTGGTCCACAGGCTCCCCACAGGGGAGGAAGAAGAACGACTCGTGCAGGATCCGACTGTGGCCTCTCTTCTGTGCGCCATTTATCAGATTACCAACAAAAATGACAAAAACGCCAAGTGAGTGTAATTCGTTGTATCCTGCTCTATTTGTTGTAGTATTTTCTTTGCCACAGTGTTTCTCTATAGTTCATTGTCAAGGTTCTGTTTCCCTTTTGTCCTCAGAGTTATTACCTTTTTTTTTTTACGAAGATCAGCGGTGCACACAATTTTTCGTGTTCGTCAGGTCATGTGATAATACTCTAGAGAACTTTTTATTTCAAATTTCGCCTTATTCACGAGCATATGTAAGAATAATTTACAAAACATGAAGCTGGAAAATCCCTTAAGACCTGAAACGGGTAAAAAAAGCATACAAGCTAAAGAGGTCTATTTTGGCCTTGTTTTCCAAAGTTTGGGTTTCAGTCCCTGGGTATCTCTTAAAGACTTTTTTTTTTATGTGATGGTGAGAAAACGTTTTTGCACATTTTGAAGTAAATTTCTTTGTAAAGAATGTTGACAAGTAGTGTTTCACGTCTTTGTATGACTTTTTGGTGTCGTGTTCTTTTCTTACAGATACCTTCGAAAGACCAAAGGCATTCAAAAGATTGTGAGGATAGCAACAGATCAGAACAGGGTATACTCACCCCGTGTCATAAAAATAGCCAATCAGGTACAGACATGATTAAGTTCATGAAAATTTTTGTTAGCTTCATTTTGTGTGTGTGTGTGTGTGTGTGTCCATTTTTTTTATTTTTTCCATGTTTGAGGGACAAGCCAAGAGTTACTTGTCGCTATGAGAAACCCAATGTTTTGGGGAAGTCAGTTTGTGTTCTTCGGTTTGTCTCATTCTTCCAGATCGAAAGAAAGATGTAATTTTACTTTGTTTTTGTTTTTTACCAAGGCTACTTATCTACCGGGTTTAATATGGAATCAGATTTTCAGATTGCACAGTTTTCTTTTTCATTTACCCATGAAACTAATGGAAATGTGGCGCGCAGCACTCTTTGGCACTGAGCAACAAGATTCGGCGGCAAATATTTGTTCTTAACACTCTAGAGCAGTTTGAATATACTAAAGACCTTACTACTTTTCTGCATGATCATTTAATTGACAGTTTGATTTGATTTGGTGATGCTGATTGTCCCTTTATCAAAAACGCGCCGAATGTGTTAGAATACAGTACGACCAATCTGAATACTTTTAGTAACGTCTGTTTTGTTATAGGTACTAGCCAACCTTTGGAGCCATAGTCAATTACAACAACAAATGAAGAATGAAGGCTGGCAGTACGATGCGGAACTCGCTCGTGCCCCGATGGATTTCGAAGCCACCTCCTTGCCACGAACGCCCGACGAACGTAGCCGAAGGGATCCGAACATTCGCCGAATGGAAAGCGACGACGATCAGTGGCGAAACGGCAGTCGCCGAGCGAGAGATCAGTGGGATGGTGAGCCTTCTGGAGTGACAGACATCTCCTCAGAATCAGATAGGCAACGCAGTTGGGGGGAGAGCTTGAATAACATCCCACCTCCTTATACATCTGATGACAACTATTCCCGGGGAAGTCGTTCAAGGGATGATCTCCCCATGGAGGTTATGTCGAGTTCACCAAGACCGTCGGCCTCTAATTCAGTCAGAGACGAGAATGAAAACTCCAGTGACAGGACTTTTAAGTTGAATGGTAGTGGGGGTGGGGGTGGAAAGAACGAAGACTTGTGGGTGTAAGACTGTTGCCCCTAAAGACTTTATATGGAGTAGAAATATTTGAATTTTCTCCTTTTTTTGCAAGGTTTTTGTAGTACCATTAGATACGAACGCGGGATACTTTTTTTTCCACTTACTCATTGAGTACGAGGAATATGTCATCTAAAGTTATTTAATTTTATTTGATCTAAAGATGGCGACTCGATTTTTCTGCTCGTTTGGCACAAGAAAAACATATTTTGAAGAGAACACCTATTTACGCTCTTACCTCCGAGAATATAGCATGTTTCTAACCATGTTCCATTGTAAGGCGATCAATTTCAGGTCATGTTCACGGTTAGCGACTCTTTCCAGAGCATTATTTCCTTTTAAATTATTCACGGCGTCCGTGGTTTTTGTTGCGTCATAACAGTCTTGAAAATTGGCTGTTTTACATAATTACAGTAGACAAAACCCGTGACATTAAACTTTATAGCGTTTGCCTTTGTTCGTTTTAACTGATTCAAGGACTTGAATTTTATGAATATTGTGTATTGAAGCTTTTTCAACTGCATTCGGCATATTTATTTTAATTTTCGAAGTCTTAGTTGCTGTTTTTACCTTAAAGTGTGCGAAACTCATGAAACAGGCGATACTGTTCTTTCCCAAACCGAATAAAGATAAGCATGGAAACTAGGCGTTGTTTATCCGCCATTAATTCAGAACATCTTAAAATGCTACAGTTTGAACAAAACGATGTCTACAAAATATGACACGAAATGAAAGTTAAACTTTAAAAACGCATAATGTTCAGACTGACGACCGACTAGCTGAAGGTATACGCTTCGTTGCATGAATAGTCTTTATTCAAGTGTATTTTGCACGAGACGAGTTTGATGAATGTGTTCCTCATGCCGCTCTTTAAAATTGCAATGTTTTATAAATAGTATTCATGTAGTTGTTACTACGGCATTTCGTATGTCACTTCTAAAATTGTGTTTAATTTCATGACAGCACAGTAGATGCTTTGTACAAAAAAAAAACTCATTAGAATACGAGTAAGTTTGTAATGTATATTGTATTTAGTGTAGATCGATACAATATTTTAAAACGAATGATGGCTGCAGCGTGGTACTTTGTGGCTGGGTTATTTTGTAGTATTGGTAATATTTGTGATTGTTAACTTGTGCTTTGCTCATGTAGTTCTTTAATTGAATAATAAACATGAAGAATGTTTATAAGTGTTTCAGTTGTACTCAATCTTCCTAAGAGGGAGTTTTCTCAGTCTTTTTTTTTTCAGAGGAATGGATTTGTCTTTCGGGAAGCTGCAACTGACACGACCAATCGCAAGATCTACCTTAAAAAATAGATTCCAAGCTCCCTTGCGACTGTCCAGTAACAATATTTCAATAATTGTACGTGTGCATTTAGAGGCCTTCATTGTAAGGAATATATCAGATGCGAATACGAGCGAGGTTAACCTGAATCATGCTAGTATCTTGTTTAGATCACGTGCAGCATGTAAGGCATGTTTTTATATTTTCGCAAAATCAGCAGAAAAATAAAACGCATATATACTCACGGGTGCGAATTTTTAACCAAGGAAAGCACCGTTTAACGAATCGTGGGTCCAGATTTTATCTGAAAAACGTTGGCTCGACGGATCGAGAAAAAAGATCGAGGAGATCGGTAGATTTGAAGACCCCTATTATCTCGTTCTATGTACAAGGGAGAGTCCAACATAAGTCTGGTAGGATGCGGGATGAGGCTTCAAATCGTGGCGGGATGTGGAATACGAGATATGTTAAAGGCGAGATGTGGGATGAAAAAGGAAGGCGAGACCGGGATATGACCAGAATTTGCGAAATTTAATATCAGTATCAATATCCAAATATAGACTGTCGGAGAATTTCCACGTTACATGATAACACAAGTTGAATATACTATTGTATACTCCAATACTCACAAGGAGCAATTGTAAGGGCGTCTAGCTTATTCACGGCGTTCCAACATTCCTTAGAGACTTGGGCGTTCGCCAAAGAGATATTTGGATGTGATAGTGGAAGGCTAGGTGGTTAACCCTTTAACTCCCAGATCAAATTTGTAATTCTCCTTACTGTCAACCATACAATTTTTATAATGTTAGTTCAGAGAATTTCATACTGGATCAACTAATTATCCCCAAATTTATATTTTTCTTTATTCTCATCACTTATCTGGTTGATATTGCGTTGATATCGCGAGGAGAAATTCTATCTTGGTCACTCATAGGAGTTAAAGGGTTAACTGAGCTAACTGGCCGTAATGGCAGAGAGATTTAAAGCCGAAACACAGGACGTTTAAAGGGTGAAAAACAAGAAAAGTGCAGAGGCTTTAAACGTGTCAGCCATTTTAGAGCCAAAATGTTATAACGATAGATGTGATCGTGGGTTTATCAATTTGTTCCGTCGTGGACCCAAAAGCTAATCAGCATGGCACGACTCAAGATGTTAAAAATACTATTAGGGCACTGAATCTGCCAACAAGAATTATAAAAAAAGCGTAAAACTTAGCCAATTGATAAATTATTTATCTGGCGTCAATAAAAGATAATCTTTTGAAATAGATGAATTTGACAGAAGAATTGCAAAGCAACCATTTGAAAATTGAAATATCCTCACACGGCTTTTTGCTTTGTTTTTGAAATTTGATCAAAGATACTCAATCATTTTTCAGCTTATCCTTTTAATTACATGACAAACAATCGCTGACAACAGATCATGCGATATTTATATCTGTCTGCCTCATCTTAACAGTGGATTTCCGATATTAACAACACAACTAATCAAGTTATTACCCCAGTCCACACTCCTGAAAACACGTGCCCTCAAGGGAAATCTAGAAACCGAGATCAGCTAAACGGGAATTTGAGTAACTAGGAGCTCGAAGAAAAGAGGAAAACTACTGTATTTCTTTCCATTTATAGTACTTTGTCGAATAGTATTATTCAGTTTGAGACGCTTCAGTTTTAAGAGTGAGTTTCAAAGCATAAATGCGTTACCAACATCACATCTGGTAGAATGATTCCCAACAAACTCTTCCAAATGGGCCAAAATTGGTCTACCAGGCTTCGTAAAACTAACTTTTCTAAGTTTCAGAAACGCTAAGATTATACATATGTATCTTCAATGTGCACATACATTGAAGGAGACATTAGAAGTGGAAAGAAGGACTATGCTTTTCAAGCGAAAATGCTCAAAATACGGCTATTTTAAAAGTGAAGCGCCTTACTGGTATCTATGAGGCACGGGTCGTTGAAATACGATATGAATAGTGCTTTAGGTCGTTTGTCTTGCCTGTAAGTTCATAATGACGTGACATGTTTGTTGATCCTTCAAGTGTCATCGAGATTTCATCATTTCATGGCCTTTGACAGACATTATGTCATACGATGTTCCCCAGGAAAGCCATGTCATACGCCTAAAAATTCTACCTCGAAAAGAAATTTTCTGAGCCTTATTTTATTGAAAAAATTACCTAACTTGACGTTTTTGCAGCTGAAAGTAAGACCTTTTCACCCTGCAGACAGCCCCCGTCAAGTGTAGGGTGGAAAAATATCGCAAAAATTGTAACGCGTTCTGTAGATATACACACCAGGGACCTTAAGCAAACCTAGACGGCGACGGCAACGAGAACATGACAAAACAAAAGATATAATGGACAGAAAAACAGCTCAGCACATGCGTCTTAAAATACATATATTTCTTAGCCGTCCTCTGCAAAACAACAACGTGAAATCACCGAAATTTGCGCCGTCTGCGAACGGAAACCGCGGACAATATTTATTTTCCATTTGGATCTCAACGTTGTCTACATACGTTTTGCTGAGGTTGAGGTGTGGCGCCGTGAAAGACGGTAAACCCATGCAGCCATTTTCAAAAATTATGATTAAAAATATAAATTCATTTCTTAATGGACATCGTCCTTGGCGTTGCCATCCTATCTGCTTAAGGACCCAAATATCAATTTTTTTTATCGGGTATTTATCAATTTCTCGTCTGAGCCAGTCCTACGAAATATGCAAACAGAGCAGTATCATCCTTATAGAGAGGTCAGCTTGTAGCATCATCAATGAAGTCACTGGTAAGTAACGAGTACACATTGTTGAAACTAACATGGCGTGAATTTTTAACTTTTACTCCTAAATATAAGTTTCTCCAGTTGCATCGTGGGAAATTCCACGCAAACAGACACGATGAAGGCTACTCCGTATGAGATGCCAACGATGCCAACGTAGCGAAAGACCTGCGAAAATACAATTATGGAAACAAGAAATCACCTTAAGGCTGGTTTCGGATAAAAGAGCCGAATAAGATTCAATTCACATTGGTGTCATTTTCCCAAATCTTATTTGCTATTAGACTGAGCTATAACTATGGACCACACTTTCTATCGGTGTTACCAGTCTGATAACACACGCAGGATGTTGGGAGAACACGAGAAAGGTTTGTAAATCACGGTCCGGAAACGAGTGATTTACAAACTAAATGCATGGGTTTACTGGGCAATAAACGACGGGTTTTTCACAAATCAGGGCGCTCGTAGAATCTATAGAACATAGTTTTTTTTTCTTCAACATACATTATACAAATTGGATCGGGTTTCCGCAGGAATTAAAGTCATAAAGGATAGGAAATAATGTTCAGTCGTGTTCATTTCAGATTAACGATCGAGTTAATGCATTTTATAATCCATCAAATAGTACTGCTCCCACATGATTGGTCTAAACGCGTCACAAAACCGAATATACCCCAGCTGAAACAAGGGGATATCCGATGATATTACTCAACCGACATTCCCCAATGTCTTAACTTAACGTTCAATACGATAAAAGTCTTCGAGAGAGTATTTTACTGTTGGTACAAAAGAAAGGACACTTTTGCTAGTTCATAAAGTCGTATCAGAAAACACTGAAAAGTAAACATCCAACGAAATAAACTCGCAGCTTTCCTCGAGCTTCGTTGTCGGAAAACTGTTCGCTTCTCGGAACAGATAATTCCCGCGAACAAATATCTGCGCAAATGGAGGCTAACGTTTCGATGATAGAACACTAAGCAAAGCCATCACAACACTGAATGAATTATTGCTGTGGAAGATTTTCTATTAGGATGAAATGTAGGAGAAAATTTGGAAGAATGCTACTCACCATATAAGCATCGGAGTAGAACCAAACAGACTCATATCGCGCGTACAGATTCAGAAGAACGATTATGTGAACAAGATAGGCACAGTAAGTTAAACGACTCAAGGGAATCCAGAAGCGAGCGGACAAAATCCTGTTCACCAAACCTTAAGAGTTAAAAAAAAGAAAATCAAGAAAAGGTATTACAGTCATTATCTATAGCCATGTGCGTGTGTCTGACTAAAAACGTTAACTTGTTGACTTACCTCCGAGCCCACTTTGACATGCGAAAATCACCCAGGCTATAGCCAGGCTCCATGCAAAACGTTTTAAGATCCCGTATGCGATTTCTTGGGTGGGAGAGAAAGGGTGAGGATTGTGCTCTCTTACAGTCTTGTACTTGCCATATAGAGAGGAGACGGCGAGAACGATAGCCAGACACCAGCCAGTCACATTAAACACGTATTTTTTGACCTTGATAGGGAAAAAGAAACAGTCATCATTACAAGGATTCATGAATACCCACAGTGTACAACTGAATTTCGACGCAAAAATATTGATCTTGTGACTAAACAAAAGTCGATAACAAAAATTGGCGAGAATCAGTGAAGAACGAGTGACAACTCGTGGTGGGCTTTGGCCATGAAACTAAGTCCATAATGACAAACTTCCTGCATACTTCTAGGATTAGAATGTCGATAAGTGTTGGTCCTTAACCAAGGCAGCTTCGTTCATCCCCTAACGAAAATATCAACATAGAAAGCCACGAAAAAATAAATAATGCTTGGCTTTGCTTAACTTGATCACTGGCGTTTTTCTGCGCTTAAGGCAACGTACTTCTTGTTCTTTTACATAGTGCGTCATGAGCGTCTTGCATTGGGTCAGCTGTACACTCCGACTTCTCGCTAATTTGCCGCCTTTTTGTGATTACGTCGGTTTTGGTTTTCTGACACTCAATAAAAAAGTATATTATTTCTTCTTTCAGCGTCTGCTAAAAAGGAGAACAATTATACCATAATGACTGCATCACCTTTGTGGGAAGCCTGTAGTCCTTTGTGTGATGAAAAAAGTAGCCCAACACCATACCAACAAGGTATGACGCGATACGACAGTAAGGCTTGGTGTAGACGAGAGCAAAGTCATCACTGCATCAGAAATAGAAAATATATTATTAAGGGACCGATCATTATTTATCGCCTAAGGGAGGGGGACACGATCGGAGGATTTGGTTTTGATACGATAAACTTTACCAGATCCCTCGATAAGATTTATTATTCCCACTCAATGGCAGTTAAATGGAAGTCAATTTTTCCCCTTTATACTATGTTTACGACGGCCAATCTTCCTCATTTCCCCATGGAAAACTATGTGATTTTCCCAAAAAATCCCCCACACCCCTCCCTCCCCCAGGCTATTAAATAATGACGGGTGTCCAAGTACCGCTCAGCCATATTCATGGAATGAATAACCTTGACAAAGTGCTAAATATAAAGCAAAGAGAAGATTCTTACTCTGTAAGATCATGAGAAGAATAAAGCGTTCCTGTGATTGCAAAACTGGCAAATGACAAGACAGCAACAATTGCAAGAAGTCCTCGAAGGCGCAGCCTAAAATTTAGAAAAAAGAATCTAATATTAAATCGGCTTAAGCTTTGGAATAGAGGTAAATAGTGATAGACTGTGCTCGCTAAGAACACCAAATTTAGTGGAGTTTCCGTATCCTTTGCTTAAACGAATGCGATGGAAGATGTGGAACAACCGCTGGCCTTACTATCCACAGTTTTAGCTTCATGCGTCTGCGGCAAAGTTACACGCAAGAATACTATAAGGCAAAGACCAAATGCATTTGACTGACTTTGAAGTCGTTTATAAAATCATAAAACTACTCCTTAAAAGTAAAAAATCTCGACTGCAAATTGTCATGAAATCAATTTTAGAAAGGTATTTTACAGTTGTTTTTCTTGGACATTATCTGTTCCTTGAAGCTCACAGTTTTCCTCGAGCGTCCCTCTTCGCATATTTTCGCGCCGAATGGCGGCTATTGTCGATCTATTTACTTGGAATCACTAAGTTGCAGACAACAACTGTTCATTAGTCACTAGAAGTAATAGGAGGAAAAAATATTCAAGCCAGAGGGAAAGAATAAAACATAAAAATTATCGTGAAAGTTCCATCGATGGATTGTGTTGGATCATCAGCTCGTACCAGTAGGCTATGAACAAGATCACAGGGGCAATGGTGTAAAACTGCATGTCATTGGCCAGGTACCATGACCACATCATACACTGCAGAGGAAAAACAAAACACAGTGTAACGTTACACAAAATTTATCCAGAGTTTTTAAGAAAGGTAAAGGTAAAGCTTGTACTCCAGCTTATTGGTCTACCCAGCGGAGTTTATCCCGGTTTTTTTTACCATGGATGGGAAGCTATTCCATCGCTAGACTACCCCCTTAGTATTTCAAAGGCTTCCCTGATTGTTCAGCCTTTAAGCCTTTTTTACCCTTTTTTAGAGTGCAAAACTCCTGGGTAGAAAAAAGGCACTGTGAGAGTCAATCGTTTTCCCTAAGAACTGCACAACACATTGATCTGGCGATCTCGACCCAGAGTCCAGCGCATCTACCAACTGATTATATTAAAAACTTATCCACAGATTCTAAATGACACTTTTTGATTTATCATGTTCTCATCAAAATTGAATCTCTCACCTTTATTTCGCAAAGAGTAGACAACTGGTGCAGCTCAGCACAACAAAGATGTTTTTACTTAAAGTTACATATAAGATGTCTCACCGCACCATCAATTTTTGGTTTGGGATAGAAGTTGTTGATGTAGAGAAGATTTGTCCACCAGTAATTGTTACAAAGTGATTTTCCTTGTACTACAAACCATCCAGGACCCTCGCCGAGAAATTCACTTATTTTAACGTAAAAAAGCAACACAAACATGTAGGTTGGAGTCAACCTGCGTGAAAGATTATAAGCACATGACTGAATATCAGGGAGGAGGGGGAAGTTTTTTAAGAAACTGCGCTGCTGCGTCGGTGGGAGAGTATGAGAAGGTAACTTGGTATTACCAACTGAGTTGATAACGAAAGTTGGCCACCGTAGAGAATTCAAAAGCTGAAGAGTCTTTTGAGTGTCAGCCCTTTGTCGCTCTGACGAAAAGCTAAGGCTCGAATCGTCAGCAATGAAATTCTTTACTGTGGCCAATTCACTGAATATCTTTCGAGAAGACTAAATATAGAACCTTAACATTTACTTTACATGGCATGATGACGGAAATAGTGCTGAAATGTCTATTTACTCACATTTACAATCGATTTTGTCGATGCTCCGTCGTTAAAAAGTGATTGTATCTTTTTTCTTGGAAAATTGTAAAATTTGTACGTTTCCTGGAATTTAGTAGCCAAGGGACAAGTCATTATTCATCACCAGGGGGAGTCGGAGGACTTTTTTCGGGGGGAAGAATCAATAAGGATAAAGAGGGAATACAGAAAACTGACTGCCAATGAAAGGGGATCCTTAGAAGGCGGGGATCAGGTAAATTTTATTGTGACACAACCAAAACCCTCGCCCCCCCCCCCCCCCCCATAGATAATGACCGCCCCTTATCTCTAATTAACCGGTTAGCCTCTTCGGAACAGTATCTTGTACATAACAAGGGTTAACTTAATTTGACCATGTATGACTTGGATACGTTGAAATTAAAACGCAATGTATCTAAATGGTAGAAGAGGGATGTAGGAGAAACCTACCTCCAAATGCGATGAAAATAGAAGAAAAGGAGCGGCAACTTCCCCTCGTTTTTGATCATGCGACGAAGTGACAAATAAGAAACTAAGAGTCCACTGCAGATGACAAAACAAAATCACTGAAATTTAGCCTTTGAACTCTTATAACGGGTAGCGGTTGTGGCTATTCGTCGTAGCGCGTAACGTTATAATGAGGTACAATCATTTGCCTCACAATGTCACAACCGCTGTGTCTTTACCTCGGCAGACACACCATTTTACTTGTTCACAATATCGGTAAATCTAACCAGGATAAAATCAGTATGGTTCTTTTTATAGACCCTTTGATAAGTTCATAACACATAATTATAACATTGCTAGATTTCAGCATAACATCTGTACTTTTAAAAATACTCAAGGGATACAAGCATAATGAAACTACTTCAAGTCGTCACCCAGCGCTTTTCAACTTTAAGAATACCTCCAGATGGGTTTTGTGAAGTAAAATGATATTTCGTGATACGGCTAGTCGTCCGTTACGCGATGCATCATATATTAGTGGGCCACTGATTTCATCGTTCAACCCATGTATATCGAGTTCATATTGACATTCTTCAAGTTCTTCAGATTCAAATGCCGGTATAGAAAATTATGAAGAAGCCACAAAATTTTCGAGTTGCTGTGACAACCAATGACAGAAAATCGAATAGGAGAGTTTGACTGATTCTGCTCTTCAATTCCGTGAAGAGAGAGGAAACATGGAAACGAAAAAATGTCGTAGTCGTGTTCGGTTTTTATTTTAAATTTTTCTGTACTTTTTTTGTCACCTACAGAAAGAGCGACAATGGACGGCAAATCCGTTGTCTTCCAAGACTACAGGGAATCGGAAGTTCATAACATACAATGCTTACCTTAGGAAGAAGAAGGTGTCAGTTGAAAGAGTTCCATTCCTGATCAGTTGAAAAGTGAAACGTTGAGAAGTTCGCTTAAGTGAGTTCACATTACCTATAAAAATAACAATAGTAGGAGGTAATTCAGAGCATGCAATGACTGAGATTCTGTACAGCTACCATGAACCCATTCATTCAGTAACAAGGCTCGTATCCTGCAAGAAGACTTCTTATGGAGGAGAAGAAGTTGAGAGAGTGAGAGATGAAATACTGGGATGTGGTATGTGATGAGACGTCAAGCGTCTGATGTGGCTTGGGTTCGATTCCTGGACCTAGTGTCACGTGTTCGTTGAATCTTCTAATGGTTTTCGAATCAGTGGACGATCAACCACTGGATGGGTTTACCACTGCTAAATTGAACTGGTTATCCATCTATTATTCATCTCTTCATTAATTAATCAATTTGATTTTAAGAGAAATATCTAGAAAAGTACTTTTTATGATTGCTTTCATAACAAATTAAAATGCAGCAGAAGTGAAAACTTAAGAAAGAAAGAAAAAACATAATGCTGCGCAACAAGAAGTGGCAATTACTCAACCGTTATAAGCTCATTGTCTGGGGGAGGGGGCGATCAGGTAAATGTCATGCGCCGCCGGCCCCCCCCCCTTCACACACCAGGCGACGAATGTTCAGTCCCTAATCGTGGTAAGTTGTAGGGGTAACTCTAGTGAGAAGTTGATCAATGTACGGTTAGTCTGTATGGTATAAATGACTCTAAGATGTGGTGAGAGAAACTCAAATGGCACAAGAACCTTAATCTTTCCCTAAGCCTTCGCCTGTTGGATTACATTCACATCAAATCTGGGTGCCATTTTGGAAAAAAAGCAACGAAAAAATGATTTGTGTTGAGGCAGTCGCGTGTGTGTTCTTTCTTAGCTTACGGGCAGCGACCAATCACATTGCGCGTAGAGTTCCGCCCATGGAATTAATGGCGAGAGGACTAATACTTACCTATTGGTGCCACAAACAACGTTGAATAACAATGTCCCAAGATAATCCACCACATGGTCACTACTCTCATTCCGTTAATTGAAGTAATGGCACCAGCAGGAATCTTGGTATCCATTATACAATTAGTGTTTTGTATTAATGAAAAACACAAAAAGAATCGAACCATACGATCTGTAGAATGAAAACATTTTTGACATGCTGGAGGTTACTGATGTATAAATCGTTCACGATAAATATCACGAATTTAACGTCATCACAGTGTAACAAAATAGTTATCTTGTTGGGTGGGAGTCTGAGAGAGGCGGTGGCCTCTAGTCAGTGCGCTTGACTACCGGTCGGGAAGTCTGGGTTCGAGACCAGGCCGCGCCATACCCAGGAGTACAAATAAGTACCAGTGAACCGTCAGGGAAGCCTGATGAAATGCTCGGGGTTAACCTGGCGATGGACTGGTATCCCATCCACAGGGGAGTAGCAATACTTAGTCACTTCATAATTCAGAAACTGGCCGCGAATCATTAAGTTGCTTCCTAGGGAAGATTACCTAGCTTTCACGAAGGCTCTCTCCACCTGGTGGCATAAACTGGCACCGGCGAACTGTCAGGGACACCCCCTGGATGGGATGGACCGCCATCCCATCCAGGGGGGAGTAGTGATACTCCTAGCCACTTCTAGCCAGAAAGCGGGATAAGCTCAAAGGTGTAGTTAGGGTGGGGTCCTGGGATGTCCGTGACCCCCTCTTTCTTTGTGAGCCTTTTTTGTTACATCAAATAAAACACGGCGTGGAAGTGGATATGAAAACTTTGTTGAGTATCCTCTACTTGACACAGTGTGACCCTTCCTTAAAAAATCTTGGCTACGTCCCTGAAACTCCAGTTAGATGGGCCATTTAGCTCAAGTACAGACAGGAAATTATAAAAAGCCAACCAAAAGTGAATGCAATAGATAGTCAAAGCATATATCAAATGGTAGGATGCCATGTCAGGTGACGATACGAAATTCCACTCAAGGAGAGAGCTGCGCCATTTGAGGGCTGTTCAAATTCCTGATTGACCGTGAAAAATTTTAACTTTTTCGCCTACTTTTTAAGCGTTTGATGGTTTGTAGTTCAACTAGTTGAAGCCCTTCTCGTGTAACATTAATCAGGGTGTGTTCTTCTTACATACTGCAATACATCAGATTATGGTGTACTTACGCTGCCTTACTCTACGCGTTTGCTCGATTGACAGAGTCGTCCTGGGACCTGATTTCACGTGAGAGGAACTTTCAAGAAGAGGGATTTTCTCTGCGGTCACGTGATCACTTTTTTGATTACTGGGGACGTTATCGTGATCTGTAGCTGTGAGTCTCTCTTTATCTGAAAAAGGGCTATCACTCTTGCTGACATGTGCGGGATGTGGCTCCAGAAAGCTCAGAATACAGTCGACGATTGTACCCAGAAGGCATAGGAACAAAATGAAACCACAAACAGCCCTGTTGAAAAAATTACACCTTTATAAAAACAGCAGTATGTTACAGAAACAATGTAATTCTCATCCCCTCCACTAACAAGCATATATAGATTATGGCTCTTGCCGCATTTTGAGCTTCCAAAAATCACCCTTTGTGCTTTAAAACTGTCTTCAAATTTGCGTTAAATTCAATTATCATCAATTCCTGTGACTTCCAACTTTGGGACCCTGTGGGCGTAAAATTGAGAATCGCCTTCCTTAACAAAAGTAAACCACAACATATCGGAGAGAATATATTGCAATGCAGTTTACAGGGTATGCAATATTCTAATGGCGACGATGATTTCGATGCTTCTCGAAGTATAATTTCTAACCATCATCATAAAGAGATCGAAAATATCTGAGAAAAATATTTTATTTTAAATACCAGCCTCGCCATGTTTTTTAATAAGCGAATCAGTTTCGTTAAATTATCTCATGTAAGAGTGATTCTTAGCGGAAGCGGAAGGTCCTTGATATTTCGTATTGTAGGCTTTTCCGCCAATAGCAGTTCTTAAAAGTAAAAACTTCTGTCTGTCCCCTCGATTAACATCATGCGTTTATGCAAACAACGGTAAATGTTACTCCCTTCTTGTCACTCGTTCCGAGGAGAAGTAGATAGATGTGAATCTGATCATGATTCGTATTGCAGAGTAACAAGGTGTAACAAACAAGGCAAAAAATGCATTGAGGCGGTCAGCACTCTGGATGTGAACTTTTTACTTGAGATGTTAATAATTTAACGGAGAGATCCCTTGTTGCCGTCGGTCTGTTCAGTTACAGAACATACCGAGATGACGTGAAAGTGGTATGAACACAAAGGTAGCACACCAGACGCAGCCGAGTGTATCGTTGATGTTCTTTCGCGTATAATTCAGCTTATTCAACAAATTTGAATAGGAAGCGACTTTGACGTCATCTTAGAACTATTCAAGCATTCGATGTGTATATGTAGGCTTAAAAAGATAGAAATCAGTTACTGCATTCGAATTTGACGCATCTAGCGTAATAACATTGACATTGAACAGTTTATATATCAAGATTCCTAACATCCTGAAATTGGTTCAGCAGTAAAGCAAACAGTGGAGCCGCTTGTTATTAATAAATATACTCACAAAGTGATGATAACGCCAGTTGTATATTCAGACTTTTTGTTGCAGTAAACATACTGTTCCTTTTCATCCACGGCGTATGGCTTCAAGGTGAACTTTGGGGAATCTAGAAAAGGCCAGAGGTTGAGTTACAGAGTTGTGAAACGGACTGATTTTCCCTCAAGCCTTTCTTACAAGAACGACCAGCTAAGTAATCGTCGTAACATCTTTCGGCGAGATCTTTCGTTTGAAGGAACTGTGTACACTTACGGCGACATAATAGTTGAGTGGTTGAGTCAAAAAAACTTTTTTGTTGTGAAGCTTATGGTAAACAATTGATCTTAATGTCTATGTACTCTAACAGTGTTATTACTAAAACAGAATAGGGGTGCTCATTAGAATAGGGGCGCTTTTCAATGAAAAAAATTTGTGGGTGACGCATAATGGAGAGTGGGTGCATTTTGGAAGAAGGGTGCTAAGTCGAATCATTACGTTAAACAGAAAAATGTTAAGGAACATTGGAATTTGTGGCGTTACAGTGTTGCTATGTAGAGAGGGGAAAGGGAAAAAAAAGGCGTCAAGGCTATTTCAGATTGGCTAGAAGGGGAGCTAAAACTTTTCATAAAGAAGTTTAGGGGGGGGGACAGCAGTTTGAGGTACATTTTAAAGGCGGTCCATTGCCCAAGGTAGGTGTCATTCAAACTTACTATCTTATGGTTATATGTGACATGAACTTAAATAATTACCAGGCATATAAGAGGAGGGAAGGGGCTCATCACGTAAATTGAATAAAGAAGAGGGGTCACAAGCTATCTACATGGCCTGGATGGGGGACTTACAGAAATTTTAATCTTTCCCTCCTCCTTCCCCCCCCCCCCCCCCTCACATAAATAATGACCGGTCGCTACGGTAAAAAAAAATTGTACCTATTTGTTGAAAGAGGTATTGTAGAGCATGAACCACATCTTGTTCATCGCAACTTTTTGGTACACAGAGACCCCAAGGAAAAGAGAGTTGATGTAGCCCCAAAGGAATAACGGGTACCTGTGGCGAGATTAAACAACAACAACAAACAATAAGAAAGTTGGTTAAATTCACTAAAAATCAAATCTGTATGTGTCTCAACTATGTATGGCAATCCCTTAGAGTTAATTATATTTATATAATAGGCTCAGTTATGCGCGCATTCCGATTGGTTCTCACTTATGATCCATTGGAGGACAAACGAATAGATGACGTCATCATTAAAACCTTTTTTAATTCTTTATTATATAAAACAAATAGATTCCAAGTTGCCGTGCGTCTGTTCAGTAATAGATCAGAGAGGATGTCAAAATGTGGTAAGAACATCAGTAACACACCCGGCTGCACCTCGTGTACCACTTTTTTGTTCTTACCACATTTTGACGTCATCTGTGATCTATTACTGAACAGACGCACGGCAACTTGGAATCTGTTTGTTAACTAAAATTGGTAGTTCATTATTAATCGACTGGTAGGAGGCTTGGAGGAACTAGGCGAGGTCACATGGTTTTAGGGCAAAACGGAAGTGAGTTAGTCGTTGGTAAGAGAGTATAAAGGAGGGATCATGAAATTATATTTTGACAGGGAAAAACGGAAGTGAGTTAGTCGTTGGTAAGAGAGTATAAAGGAGGGATCATGAAATTATATTTTGACATAACAAAAAAAACTCCGATCTCCTCCTCCCTTGCCAGTCCTTAGCATTCAAGCGAAGTTGCTAGTAGTAGTAATAATGATAATAATAACCGAATAGAGACACAAAATTTGAAGGTTAAAAGTTAACTCCGTTTAATGACGCTATCACTTGACCCATAATGGCGGGAACAATCCATCTCTTATGAATCTCTACTCGGAATATTTAATAAAGTGAAACCCTATTTTGAACCGATTTTTTTAATTTCTGTTTAAATAGAAATGTTAATAAGAGTGCTTACAGTTTACTCTCAATGATATCTTATCTTCACTTAAATGATTTGCAACGATAACCACCTACCCCAGTCACATTAAGCTGTGATATTGAAAGGAAAGCCGCGCAATAGTGGGCGTCAACTATGGTCTTTGTACATTCACTGTATGATCCTATCATGGCGAAATTTTTCAACAGCATTCCACTTGAAGGTTTACCAATAGCATCTAGGTCTGGAAAATACAGGTAACTTTTATTACGGTGTAGAATGAAAATTTGCGAGAATTATCTCTTTTTTTTTAATATTGTTTAGGAAATATTGTGACGAAGTCCGGTGGGTAGAGCTGAAAATGTCAGAAACTTTAGGATTCACGTGTGAAACCTCATGGCCACACAATGGTGGAATAATAATTTGATTGAAAAGAGGTGTGTTTCTTAGCTGTGGTAAGGACAGCGTTTTAGTCCCCCGCCACCATCCATTTTTTGTGTTTTCAAGTATTTTTTTTAATTTGTCCTTTTTTGTAGCATTTTCAAGTTAATCCTGCGTTGTATGAAGGGAAAAATGTAATCCGTTTTCCCGTATAAACGGCAGAAAAGTTCCGTTTACTTTTTACGAATAACTCCATTTTAAAAAAGACTCTTTCATACTCACAATAAGCAAGCGTTGAAGCGTTCAGCTTTGTCACGGCATCGGAACATTCCTCGGAAACTCCAGCGCTCGCTAAAGATATATTTGGAAGTGTTGATGGCAGACCAAATTGCTGTGCGAACTGGGCGTAGTGCCTAGAAAGAGATAAAGCCAACATGTACGGCATTTGAGAGAGGAAAAACAATAAGAAAACTGCAGAAGTTCTCGATAACATAGCCATGTCAGATCCTCTGCACTCTGACCAGAGATCAAAATAATAGGGTTTCTTTATTCGTCTCCTTCCGAAAACCTGGTCCCGTGGTTTATCCCGTGTTTAGCCTTTTGCACATCAGCTGTTAAATCCACACGCGGCCCAAGCTCCAGCTGTGAGATGATCATCTTGCACAGTAACATTCATGGCGGAATTATCAGAGTTTGTATGGGAATATTTATTTACACACAGGCTGTGAGTAGGTGTCATTGATTTTACCCGTAAAATGTTCGTATTTCGAAATATTTATTGTTGTAAATTGACCGTATTTGGTTCCTCATTCGTGTTCAAATTTTCAACGCGCTCCTCTCGTAACTTAACACCGAGTCACACAACGCGTGACCTTTCATGAATTAATCGTTGGCTTTTTCTCGAGATTTGAGCTTGGGCCGCCTGTGATAGGACCATCAACAGGGACCGCGCTGAAAGTTTTTGAGTGGGGGGGGGGGCTATTTTTGGCTCCGTTGTTTTTGTTAGCTGAATTATTTTTTGTTTAATTTTTTTTTTTTGCAAAAAAGTGGGAGGGGGGGCTAAAGCCCCCCCAGCCTCTCCCTCTGCGTGGTGCCTAACCAAGCACGCTTAAAATCCTTTAACTCCCATGAGTGACATTAACTGATTGCTAGTAGTGAAAAAAAATCGTGGGTGAAATATAGCTTAAATTTCGTTCGTTGAAAACTTGATTCCAGGAATTTAATTCACTTAACTCGAGTTTTCTTGTTAAAGTTAGAATCCTTAGAGCCTGAAAATTGACTTTCTTCAGAAATTTTGGAAGGATCGTTGTAAAAGTCAAAATCACCTGACAATTGAGTACAATTGGGAGCTAGCACTGTCAAGAAATGTTTATTTCGTTTGCGAAAATAACGGGTATGGGGGAAGGTTGTTTGTTATCATGGGGTGAAGCCTTGCTGGGAATATCTGCTGGATATGATCAAAACAAAAAGTTCAAGGATCAGTCTTCAGGAAGTAGTTGGCAATATGAAAATTTTGGCCACCAAAATGTTTATGTTTTTAATAATTTGAAGACAACCTTGGGCTTTCTTGATGACCTTGTTTCCGGCTTCCGATGAAGTTCTTAATGTCTGCGTGATTGAGTGCATACTTTGTCGCTATGTGCTGTATATGATTTGGCTTGTCTTGTCACGCGCTCATGTGACACGCTCTCCCGGCGCGAACAAGACGTTTGCCCTACTCGTTTTTCAGGCTGACTCATATCATTGAAATGAGATAACATGACGCCAAGGGGGTTTATTTGAAATCACAGGCGGCCCAAGCTCTAGCTGTGAGATGATCACCTTGCAAAATAAGAGTCATGGCGAAATTATGGGAGAAGCTTCTCCTATGTACGTAGTAAACCTAGAAATGGATAACTCACTAAAACAGTACTTTTCGCGTCTTTTCGCGTACTTACGGGTTGTGTTTTTGCTAGACCAAGTTTGACAAGTTAAAGTCGGAAAAGTCTGGAAATTCGAAGTACAGGGAAAAGAGCTCGTCCTAAGTTTAGCTAGTTAAAAATGCAAAAACAACAAGGGAAATCGCCTCTATGACCGGAAATTCCCGCAAACTTATAGTACCTCGCGAGATGGTTTAACTCGTCCTAATGAATGCCGCAGCCAATTACATTGCCCGTAGTGACAGATGCCTGCTAAATCGTGAACTAGAAAATATTTTCCAGACACTCGCGCTCGTCTCGTGGTTAACTTTGTAAACAATGCTTTCGGAATGGCAGACAAATTCACTCGTAATACTTTCCCGTTTCAACAATCCGTGTCATCCTCTATGTGCCGAGACAGTCGCATCCTCTGAAAGAAACGCCGTCTCCTTCGGGGAAATAAGGCGAGAATCAATACAAGGGAAGTCATTATAAATGCTTCGTCTCCCGCCATTTTTTCAAAGTTTGGCGCTTCTTTTGAGTAAACGGCTTAAATTTTGGGGAAAAAACGATTAAACGTCGCTCTGTAAACAAACACCTAGAAAGAATGTTCAGCACCACCACGGTAATCTTACTTTTGTTGAAAGGTGTTACGAATATAATTTTGCCTATTCTATCGGAAAACCGCGTTTTTTCATCGGAATCTATTTGTGTTTATTAGAGATGCATTATCTCAGTTTGGCCAATCAAGCGATTACTACTCGCTCACAAATGAGTGTGTTTGAATGAAAAAAACCATGACGATATGACTATGTATGCTTCATGTGTTAGATCGAGGAGGCTGTAGATATGAAGCCAACGATCAAGACTAATTCAATAAAACGGCGCTTCAAACGCCTCGAAGAGTGCTTTCACATGTCATTTTACTTAGATGAGATTTCTAGAGCACGGTGCGTTGAAAATTTTTTACTTTAGGGTTTTTTTTTGAACATATTTAGGACGCCAAATAATTGCGTGAGATGCCTGTAAAATTGAGTATCAACGTATCCTCCACTAGCTTGTCACGCATTTGACATGCGTGATGTCTTTATTCTCGCGCGAAAGGTATTAAATAAACCGTACACGGACCTACAAACGCAAACATCGCTTCCTTTCTTCAAATTACTGCCTTCTCAGAATAAGCCCGCTGAAGAAAGTACTTGAGCGATCTCTGTATACTCCAAGATCTTGCAACCACGACAAATATAAAGAACTAAAACTTCTTTTATTAAATGTAAGCACATACGGCCTAAAGGAGCTATTACCGTCATTTGCAAATAATATTCACATTTCTCACACAAGCGGCCCCAAGCGAAAAAAAAAGATTCATGGCGAAATTATAAGAGTTTGTATGGGAATATTACGACCGTTCTTAGGAATAAAAAAATAGTCAAATTCTCAATAAATATACCCTACCTTATTTCAACAGTGCATCGCTTGTTTTTTAACCGCTTGCTGTGATGAAAAGAACCTGGAAGCCAGATGAGGATCATAGTCCATGAGCCAAGACATCTCAAAAATGTCTTTCGTAGCACCCCCCATAAGACATAGTGTATTTGGTATCAAATGAAAGCTTAGTGTGTATACTTTGATAATATACTTGTTACTTTTTATGTAACTTGAGCGTAAGCGTGAAAAACAACTACTTCCAAGGGGGGGTGGGTGGTTTGACTTTTTGTCAAGAGTTAATTTTTAGTTTGAAAACAGCAAATATCTCCCAGCCGTCTGATCCGATATGAAAAGAAAACAGCCAAAAGTGTTCTTAAGATAAAGTTATGTGCACTTGTTTGTCAAAACCCAAATTGGGTGTTGGCATGGCAACTGTTGCTAGGCAATTATTTCAAATATAGACATTAAAATTTATTAACTTGATTTTATTTCAGAAACTGCATTTTAATAATAATAAAGCATTATTAGTTGCAAGCGACTCTTATCATTTAGATTAGATTGTCTCTGGCATTATTTCAATCCTTATTCCGTGTTAAAAGTAGTCTTAAGAGGGGATGGGTGGGGCAAGTTTTTTACCTGGCCGTATTCAGAAGCCTTTGTTCAGTATCAGAAGTGTAACTTTGTTATTATTATTTTGCTTAATGGCTTAGCTGTACATTTTCTGTGATCTGTAAAGAATTCCATCGTTTTATTGCTAAATTAATTTTCCATATGAATAACTGTCCTTGTATGACTTTTTTAAAATATTTTTTGTTTTTCGCTTAAAAAGTAGAGCTCGAAGATTCCTCTGACGCTAACTGACAAAACCTAGTGACCTGTGAAGTCACATACTTAAGTTTTTTTATTAAAGAAAAAAAAAACACATTTTAAGAATAATCCAATGTTCTCCAATCCATAAATTCCATTCCAAGAAAGTTTCTGGCAAATGGTAAAAATAAAACTAACCTCCTAAGCTTCCTTGTACGGGAGCGGTCAGAAAATGCCGTGTACGCACAGAAAATTAAAGACTGCACCTTCTTTGTCACTCACGGAGACAACTGCACCAAACTTGTCGTCCCAAATGGTTCAACTATTGCAAGCGACGTGCCCGAACTTTGCACCAATCAAGAGGAAGCTGACACTAGAATGTTCCTCCACGCAGAACATGCATCTCAAAATGGACACCAGCGCATTGCCATTAAGTCCTCTGACACAGATGTAGAAGTACTAGCCTGCTATTACCAAGCCGTCATTTCTGCTGACATAATTCTGATCAGTGGTACTAGTAGAAGATCTCGCATTGTTAGCATTCGACGGGTATGTGAAAGACTTGGCCGAGAAATATGCGAAATACTTCCAAGTCTCCATGCCATAACTGGTTGCGATAGTGTGAGCGCTTTTTCAACAAAAGGGAAGAAGAAGGCTCTTGATGTTGTACAGATGAATTCAGCTTTGAGGCAAACTCTTGGCAGTCTTGGTGAGAGAGTTCCTGCTAGACAAGATGACTTAAACAAGCTAGAACGGTTTGTCTGTGCCTTATACAACGACCACCTATGCCAAAGTGTAAACGAACTCAGGTACAAGTTGTTCTGCAAGAGCAAAAGCCTGCAGTCACATCAACTTCCCCCTACGAAAGAAGCTCTTGAAAACCATCTCATGCGTGCTAACTACCAGTCATTCATCTGGAAGCATGCCCTACAAACAGAAGTGAACCAGTCTCCTGATGGCAGGGTTGGCAACAGAAGAATGGCCAATTGGAAATCTACTGGACTAACCAGGCACCTGCCCCTCAAGCGGTCATGGAACTTATTTGCTGCCGCTGCAAAGGATCGTGCCAAACACGACGCTGTTCTTGTGTCAGCAATGGCCTTCCCTGCACGGAGGCATGCACATGCCAAGATAACTGCCTTAACTGTATTAGCAAGGAAGATAGCGAAGATGATGATAGCGATGATGATACCGACCATAGGGCAGAATGCTGTGACATTCATTAAATATTCATGATCACCGAAGCGCAAATACGCGCTCTGAAAAGCCCAAAATTAGAGAAGAAAGGGCCATAATTGGCCAAGTAGCGTTGATAAAACTTGCTTTCCTGATTTCAAGAATTAAAAATCTTAAAACCCACGCAAGGAATTTTGAAGAGGAATGTTGTATCAACAATTTAAGACTAAAATAAAGAAGATTGAACAAGTGGAAGGAGTATCCTTTGGCACTTGAAAATAAGGAAAAATTGACCTTTTTTTGTATGGAGTCCGTTTTCCAAAGCAAATTTCTGAAAACTATTACTGAATTTCGACAACACACGCACGGTTTATGGAAAATTCATCTTTTCTCATCAAGAATCTGCAAAAAGTTTACAAATTGGTCAACGGGAACCACTATCCTTTTCAGTTTGAAAACTGCTGATTGAATTCGCGTTTGAAAATGGCGCGTCTTGAGCGAGCGAGCTATTGTTTTAAGCCTTCGATTGAATAACAATGGTTACCAAGACTAAATAATAGACCATTCCTAAAAACCATTCAGTTGTAAAATTATTCACTATTACCGCGAATTTTAAAAGTAAGTAAAGTAAAGCAGCTGGTTTATTCAAACAGCCGATCATATCGCGCAATGGATAAAGTCATGGAAAACGTCAGCGATCGGGAGCTCTTTTCAGAGCTCGTTGACAACCCGATCAATCCGTTACATGTACATATATTGCCTCCATTTGTGAAAGAAAACAACCCGATGTTTTATCTTCAAATAAACGGAGAGGCTGCGTTCAAATGGCGAGATAGTTATGGTCAGCCCTGTAAAGTATTTAACTTACTCCGAGTTTATTCAAACGAAGGAAGAAACAAAAGCGGGTTGTGGTCATTCAAACAAAGGGAGTAACAATAGCGCACTAAAGCCATTGTTCAGTTTGCCGCCACATTCAAGTTAATGAGTATTGCCGCGCGTTCATAGCAACCAATAAAAAAGCTTCTTTCTGGGCTTCCATGAATAGTAATAAGCGTTATGACAGACCTATGCGTCTTCTTGAACTGTAAGTAAATGTCATAAGAACAATAGCCATTCTACGCTATGCGTTGATGAATATGAAAGCTAACCTGGGATTTCTTTTTCCTGTAAGCCGGCCACGAAAACAAAGAATGCTATTTGCAACACATTGGTTTAGAACACACTGTATTGAAAGTGTAATTAACTATGTACATTACTATTTCCACACAGTTTATCTTATAAACGATGAGAACAAAGTATGTTAATAGCAACAAACAAATAAAACATATTAAACATAACAAATAAACATATTTGATATTATTTTGACTCACGAGTTCAAATGGGAATGTACAATGTCTCTCTTCAAATGTACCTAATAAGGGTGTAGTAAAAGACCTGTGTTAAATGTAACACCTAGTCTTAAAGACACAAACGACGCAAATGCTACTGTTTTCATCAATTACAAAGTCTACTATCTATGCTTCTAAACGTTTAGCGTACAAACGTTGCCATGGCAACAGTCGAGGCAGTTAAATTACATGGCACACCTCTTAGTGACTACAAGAGAAACATTGTTAGTGAGTTTTAATGCAAACGCATTTCAGTTGTCAATAGTATGAGTATTTTGAGTGTGTAATAAAGGTACTTCCGTTATCTTCCAGCCAGCCCCAACCCCTCTCCCACCCCCACCCCGAAGTTTAATTTGCATTTATCGTATTTTTCTGCGATAATTATGGCAAAGGATGCGCAAGAAAAGCCTAATTTTAAAAGTGGCATTCTTAACTTCTTCGCGTTTTTTTGTCAAAATTACATTCACAGCGAAATTTGGCCAGTGAAGATGACAATTCTGTAATTCACTATTTGGACGAAAACAGTTGCCATGGCAACTCCCAAAACCATGTTTTATACGTAAGATTCCTACAGTATTACGAGCATTAATTTTTTTGTTAAGTTTGGGGTAAAAACATTTGGTATTTGTGCAAATAATTCCCTGTTCATAGTTTTTATGGGTTTACAAATGCAAATTGTCCTTGCCCACCCCCCCTTGGGAAAAGTTGATTTTCTCACTTACGCTCAGGTTACATAAAAAAGTAACAAGTATATTATTAAAGAATACACAATAAACTTTCATTTGACACCAAATACACTATGTCTTACGGGGGGTGCTACGAAAATTGAATTCTAGCCGCATTTCAGGATTTGGCTCATGGACTATCAGGGAATGTTTTGGAATACCCTTTCGGAGCTTGCGTACTATTTTGCAAATTTTTCCGGCGCGAATTAATCCATTTGCTTAACTTTGAAGGACGAAGAAAATTGGACAAACAAACAAACAAAAAACAAATCAAAAAAGGCTTTCGAAATAGGTCGGCTATGAAACAAAACTGAAATGGTAGTCGTAGATAACAATTCAATAACTAAAACAGAAATGATTAATTTATACTCGCAGAGTTCAAGCATTTAGGAGGTTTCCTGGAAAAACAGGACCAAAGATCACTGGATCAAGGTCAAAACACGAAGCCGTTTTTGGCGACTGCCGGAGGGAACAGCAAATTATCAGCTGCTTTAACTTCATCTCTTCAATTTTTTACTGACGTCATATCCTTAAAGGAAAAGCAGATGGAATGCATCTGAAGAATCACTTGCTAAGAAGAAGACGTTTTTAGTCGTTTTTCCGACAGTATTTGACAGGAGACATAATTTGGAAAGTGATAAAATTGTATCGCCCCACTGAGTTGTTGTTGTGAGTCCCCTGGAGTATACATGGACGACAGTCGCCAAAATTGCACCGGAAGTTAGAGACGCAATCTCATACCGACAATCGGGATAATTTAGAAATTTCATGTGAAAATAATATATGCACAAGTAAATCCGCTATGTAGCTGTCAGTCTTCAATAGGAGTTCTAATAGTCGGTAGGCGAAAATTTACACTTCCACAAAGTAGTATGGCTTTTTCAGTATTTGGTATTTTCTCTTATTTTCGCTTTTACACACGGAAGATCTTGACTGAGTCACGTAGATGAGCAATCAATCACGCCTATTAATTTATTTAGTTTGATTCATTTTGAACTGATCCTTGATCCGGTGATCCGGTGATCCTTGATCCTTGATTCTTGATCTTTGATCCTGTTTCTCCAGGAAACCCATTTGGGAAGAGTTTGGGGAAGGCATTAGGGAGGAGTTTAGTTTTCTCACCGCCTCAATTTATCAATAACATCTAATCAGCACGCCGGAATTATTAAACTTACTACAAAACTTTTTTTATCATTCGACAAAAATTTTTCTTGATTCATCAACATAGCATCTTTCACACGGCTGTATGAAGTCACAAAACATGAAACGTTTGCAAAAGTCGCTATATTTCATACAGTATAAGCCAAAATATTAAAATAATGCTCACTCCGGTCTTGATGCTTTTTCTTGTAAAGTGCTACATCTCCGGACTATATGTGACATTCTAAACTCCATGACGAGTGCGCATGGGACTTAACATTACTCGCTGTAGAATGACTGCAGAGATCCTCTGGAATAGTTCGCAGAAAAGGGGTCTGTGGATCGCCCTGACGTGTCAACAAAATAGATTCGTCAACGCGACTACATCTGCGTTGATTCCTCTCGAGTTGGCGCCGTTCACCAAACCACACCTAGAGAAAATAATTTTAATTTATTACCTTATCCGAAAAATTTAACCATACATTTGTTTGTCAAGTTTTGAATATAATAATTATCGAGGAGATCAAATATTTACCAGCAGGAACACTATTTCAAACGCTAATTCCACCCCTATTACTGACGAGTGTAAATTCCCAACCTACCCACCCCTCTCACTGAAACGATTTACACCAACGACTTTTTGACCCCGTACTTTCTACGAATTGATTCATTCGATTTCGGTCGTTTTGTATCTGTATGTGATATTTTCTTTCGTTCAGAAGAACAAATAATTTTTTCTGACCAACAAAGTGGTTTCTATTCAATGACGCTTTGTTTCGAAAGATACGGGGTTCAGATGGCACAAAAAGCAAATATTTCTTCACAGCCCTGTCTTCTCATTAAGACTAAAGCTCTCCACGTTAAGACCTTCAGAACTCTGCTTAGATTAAGGTGATTTTTCACCCTGCAAACTCCAATTATAACTACTTGAATTGAACAATATTCAGGAAAGAAAAAAACCTACGTATATTACCTCCATCTCTGTCTTGGTTACTCCAAGTTCTATCGCTATTGTCGTCTTCTCATTATCGTTCAAAAATTTATTTCTCTGGAAAACATCCTCTAATGCTGTCTGCTGTCCAAACGTCAAACAAGTTCTTTTGACCCGGAAGGACTTTTGGATCACGGAACTTCGATAAGAAATGTCTTTGTTTGGTAGCAGATCTGAATGACAAAAATACATAAAGTTAACAACATACAGCATAAACAAACAACTAAGCTGAATGTGCTGAATTTTAAAACGGATAAAAGACGGAAAATAGATCTGATCGTGAGATCATGTACTTGAAGTTTATTTACTTAATTTTCTGTTCGTCTATAGTCACGGTCATGAAGAGAAACTGCGGGAGGATGGCTCTAACCCGTTTCCCGCACGAATTTTGGAAAAATTCACGCGGCTCTTAGTTAAAGGGAAAACCTCAAATTTCTCTTCTGGTGTACAAGGTTTCAGGGAAATGGTGACTATTGTCACAAAGATGAAAGAAAAAATTCACGGGTCACGTATATTTCAGGAGACAAATCGCGCACACAGGTTGATAAATTCGCGAATCACGCGCGCCTTTCTGTAAAATTCAGGCGTCACAAATGAATTTCGGTCTTATTCACGTGTCACATTTATACCCTTTGCTACTTTCCATGGAGTGAGGGACAGAACATCCTTCGTTTGTTTGGGATGTCCACAATCCGGGTTTTTTTTTTCCACGACTGAAAAAGATCCATGGAGTAAAAACAATTCTGACTCACCAGGAGTTGACAGCAAAACAGACGATTCTGTCTCTCCAAAGTCCAGCCGACGGCAAGCAGCGCTAGGCCGTTTCTTTCCGTGTTTCGGACGGTCTGCAGTCATTTTCTTTGCTCTTTTGACAACTTCGCCATATTTACGGATGCCATCGGTATGAACCGCGAGAAACTCAGCAGGTGCTTCGTTCATATTCTCTCGAGTGTGTAAATAACGCGTGCGCATGTGACAGAACTAACTTGTTTCAGTGCTCATTCACTTCGATGGTTTATATAAATTCTGATGAAGGAGGAGTTTATCACTGTTGTTTCAAAATAATTAATCATCTTTTGAAATATTCAGCATTTAATTAGCAAACTCACAGGAGAAATATCTCACCTTGTGATTAAGTAAACAACAAGTAACTAGACAATGAATGCTAACTTGTCACCAACTTGAGAAAATTGATTCTAATTACAACGATGATAACAATGATTGATGATCAAACGGTAGAATCTTCTACGTATCACAGGGGACTATTTAGGTCTGTGTGACTTTTAACTCTTGATACACGATTTTACAATATGAATAAAGACGTTGTTTATCAATTTGTATTCCTCAATCTTAACGAGAACAACAGCAGTGATAATGTAACACGAGAACAAAAGCTAGGTGCTTTCGATAAACCGTTCTATGGAATTTTGTCATTTTGAGTGTACCCGCAGCGAAAGCGCAAGAAAAAAGTTACATGACTTATTAACCTTGAAACCTGAGTAACTTGCGTATCTTAAATAGGAGGAGTTTCACCTCTAATGCTTACAGTTATAATATCGATCATTTAATCCTGTGAATTAGCGTGATTCGCTTTGGAAAACGTTACGCAGCTTTGATTGCTTTGCTAAGCCCAGTGATAGCATTTGTTAGAAAAGGGAACTAATTGTTATTAACTGAGTTGATAACGTAAATTGGCCGCCGTAAAGAGTTAACTAGCTCTTTACTCTTCGCGGTAGCCAACTCATGTTATCAACTCAGTTGATAATACTAAAAATTTCCTGTTTTACTCTCCCACCGACTCAGCACCACAGTTTCTTTAGAAACTTACACCCTTTATTCATTTACGTAAGTAACTCAGGCATCGTAACGCATCGCCACGAAACACAACGCAAGATAACAAAACGTAACGCAACATAAAACTATGCAACGCAACGTAACACAAAACGTAAACGCTTAACGCATGACATACAAAAACATTGCAACGCATAACGTAATGCGAAAAAGCACTGATGAAAGCATATTTCGTTTCTCTCTGGGAAAGTCCTGGTTGTTTTTCACTGTTGCGTGACCTGCATACTTTTTGGGGAGATGAAAAACAAAACAATTTTTTCATATGAAGCTTAGCTTACTCGTCAAGAGGTAAGAACAAAACTGAAGCTGTACGAAAACAAGTTGTTTTTAATTTACACAACAAAAAACAAGATTTTTGAAAAATATCGAAATCAAAATAGAATTACGCTGACTTTGCACGCTTTTTTATCTCTCAACCCAGTCTTTCTCGTTAATTTGACCCTAATAAATCTCTAATAATGGCGGAGGCTGATTCGGGAAGGCGTTCGAGAATCACTCTTATAGCAGTAGATCAAAGTGAATGGAGCGAGCAAGCTTTTGAATGTGAGTACGTTATTCCATTTAGCTGTGAGAAAAAAAATATGTTCTTGCGCGCGTCACACTGTAGGTACTGCAACTGAATTAAATATCCGATATACTGAAATTTTAATTAGCTCTACATATCTACCGAAGTTTTTCACTAATTTTTGACGCCAAAACTTGAAGTAACCTAAAGACAAGCCCTCGTTGTTTTCAAATGGTATAAATTGTAATTTGGTTTAATTCAGTGTAGCAGTGGTGTTATTAAAATGCCAACGCTTATTCCCCACGTGTCCAAGCAAAAAATGCCCAATTCAATGTTTTTGGCTATCTTAACGTAACAAACCACAAATCTTTATATCTAATTTTAAAAAATCCGTGTTATTCGCGTTATTTGTCTTGCTGTGTCTTGATTATTGTCCGAAAAGCTCCTGTTTTAAAGTATTTGCAAGCTGTAAAGCATTTCCTTTTGCTTCTGGTGTTTCAAAACGATAATCGCAAAATGGAAAAACTACGATGTTATGATGGTTATGTAGGTAATGTAACTCGATTGTAAAGGCTAGGATAATTTCATAGTTTGAATTCCAGTTTCTTTGTTTGTTTTTTTTTTCCTGACCCTTAAGAGTGACTAACATCTGATTTCTCGTAACAATATTACCCCTGAATCACTTATTGAGGTCATGAGAATAAAGAAAATAATCACCAACTAAAGGAGCACTTGATGGTTAAACAAATTCTCCTTATCAGCACCTCAGGAAATATAAAGAGAACAGTAAGAAGAATATACATACTGATGTTCGGGTGTTCAGGTTATTTTTGTTGTGTTTCCCTGTGAGATCAGATTAGCAAAACCAGTATAATGTCATGAAATTAAGTCTGAACACACAGAGTGCTTAGATGTTTTATATGGAGAAACTATCACCCAAACCTTATGTGGTGAGGGCATTTCCCGTGACAGGGTATACAGCAAATTCATAACTCCCACTAGCCTCCTTTAAAAGATCCTGCTGCAACTGATATTATTTACAAGGGTATTTTGTTAGATAAAAGGGTTACACAAGAGAAAGAGAGTAACGAATGGTTCATTTTTAACCAAAACAATTTTTATCTATCTGTTCTTGTCATTGAAAGTTATTTTTAGAGATGGAGTACTGCAGGCATGTTACTATTTTTCCATAAAGAAGGTGTAGGAAGTATCATTAACATTGAAAGTGAAATTAAGTCAGAAACACCCTTAACTGTCCATGCAAAATTGCAGCCCAAAGCTGTAGACTTGTTATCTTTTCCATTGTTCAATCTTAAAATCATCTTCCCTTCTTCTGCATAGATCAATGGCAGGAGTAAGGCCCCTGAAATTATGATTCTTAGTAACACCCTACCAGTTAAACTTGTAACACTGTTGCATAATTACAGTATTGGTCACAGTATCAAGTGAAACAACCGTACAATTAATCTTTATAATCATGCTTATCATATATCCTCAAATAAGTGCCCACACTCTAATTCACAACCTCCCCCTAATTAGAGACCCCTCAAATAAGCCCCCCCTCCTGTCCTCCCTCACTTTCTACAGGGGAATCAGCACAGGAACACAATAAGCACCCCATCTCCCCTTGATAAAGCACCAGCCCTCCATTAGGTGCTCCTTGCCCCCTTGTTGCGGAAACAAGCACCCAAGCATTTATTTAAGGAAATTTGGTATATAGGGATTAAAGTGTTCACAATTCCACTTTGTTTTTTCTCTCAGGGTTCATGGAAAACATCTACCTCGAAGGAGACCAAGTAATTCTCTTAAGTGTTGTAGAGCAACTCCATCTTCCATTTCTAGCCGGTATGTACTCAAAGCTTTTTTTTATAATCACAGGTTTGGGGGTGGGGAAGGGGGAGGAATTTGAGGGAAGTTGGTTTGGATGTGCCAACAGGGCAGTCAATAAGATCAAAACTGTTGTGAGGCACTGAACTCAGGGGAATTGCAGGGACAGGATGAGTATGGATGGATGCAAAGCTGACATAAACTGACTTCAAGAAATTTGATTATACTATGTTTTTAATTATGTACTTGGTTATGAAGTTTTGGTTCCTTAAAAAAATTATTTTATACCTTATGCAGATGCTGTGGTCATTGAGGAATGGAAAAATGAGGTTCACAAAATGGAGGAAGAATTGAAGGCTTTGGAGAGGAAATATATTGATAGGTGTTCAGATTTGAGGGTATGGGGTCACCTTTTAGTTGGTTGTTATTAAAATTATTTGCCTATATACCTTTTGGATGGATAGCCCTCATCAGAAACTGTATCAAAGATATTGATAATAATAGAATGCATGCATTCTCATCCCTAATTTCTATTTCAATCCTTCCCCCCTCAGAATTATTCTTAACAAACTAGAGATGAATAATCGTGTGCATATAGTGAATGAATCATCATCATCATCATCATCATCATCATCATCATCATCATTATCATCATCATCATCATGCTACAGGTCAAAAGTCTTGTCCTACCTTCATCCCTCAAAAAGTTTAAACTTTTTCTCTTGGTTTTATCCCATTATTTGTTTCCTATTGAACAGTGGATTAAATTATTAACTCTTCATGTTATCGCTGATGGAAGAAGAGAATACCTTGTTGGCATTCAGACTTTTCTCTTTAATATTATCCAGTTGTCTGATCTACAAAACTAAAACGCTCAATAGTGATTTGACCTGGAAACCTTCGATCCAGTTTATTTATTACTTAGTATTAGACATCAAACATGAACATATTTTGGCAAGAGATTAAATCGCAGACTACAGACTATACATGCTGCAGAGAGAGAAGTTGATTCAAAAATGGGAAGTAACAAGGTCCCTTTTCACACTACCATTGAAAAAACAGCCATGTAATCAGTGCTGCTCTTTCTTGTTGATAGACTCCCATAAGATTTAGGGTGGAGCAAGGAAAACCAGGAGAAAAGATCTGTGAGATAGCTTTGAAAGAGAAAGCCACACTGATTGTCCTAGGAAGTCGGGGTTCTGGCTTCATAAGGCGCACAGTTCTTGGAAGTGTCAGCAATTATGTAATTCATCATACAAAGATTCCAGTCATCTTGTGCCCCAAAGATTATCTGTGACTAATTTAACATTCTGTTAGGGTGTGGTGGGGAAATCCACATTTTCCCTTCCAGTAGCCCTCTCTATTTATTTTCCTTTCCAAGGAATTCGTAAAAAGAAGAAAAACACTTTTTTCATTTTCTGATTTACATGTAATATCTTAATGTTTATCGCCATGTGCTTATTTAGTTGGTCTATCCTGAACGTTTAAGTTCCTTCTGATGGAGTTATTTTGTATAAAGGAAATAGCTTTGATTTATAATGGAAGAAAGTAAATTTAAATTGTTACGCTCGTCCTATTTGAATTACTATGTATACTGCTGGGGGAAAAGAACTTGCACCACAGGAAAACCTGGAACCTCCTCACAGGGACTCCCTTCTTTTCCCTAATCTGTAGGGCTTCAACAGTGTTAATCGTGAGCTGTAAAACGGGACGAAACACAATCGGAACAGGCCCACTCATATCCACCACAAACTTGATATTTTACGGTTTACAGTCAAGTCGCTCGAAAGTCATCTCGCTTGAAGTCATATCGCCCACAACCGGAGACAAGTCGCCCGAAACGTTAAGTCATTTCGCCAGAAATCACCAGTCATGTCACCCGATTTTTTATCACATGTAAAAACGTCAAAATGGTATATCTTTGGAAATTGCTGAAGGTGCCGATGGATCAAACTACCCTTTTGGGTGTATCAAACATTCAGCGAAACATACATAACCAACATAAAAAATTTTATCTAATTCAACTTCTTGAAAACAAAGCGGATAGTCCCAAAGGTAATCTATTGTTTGCGCTATTGTTTTCTTCTAACAAAAGACTGTATGCATAATGAAGTATGGGGCTGTGCGGAAACTTTGCCCATCTGTCTACCGGGGCTTTGATCATCACTGAATGTTTGGACAGGTAAGAATCTACCAGCGGGTTGGGATCAAACCGATTCGCACTGAGTACGAAAAGTCCGTGGTAAGAAACGAGAAATATCAGCTTTTGGAACTCTTTACAGTGGTCAATTACCATTATCGATTAAGTTGATAAAACCTCATTATTTGTTTATACCCCTCATCGACGAAGCATCACAGTTTAAACTTACTCCCTTTAAACAGTGCAACGACCACATGATCGATTTCTGTATTGCCAAAGTCTTCATGGTGTTGTCGAAAACCAACACCACTTGAGCGAAAAAGATTTAGGTTTCAGTCGTCATTCTTGGTGGAGCGTTTGGTTGAGTAAACCCTTTAACTCCCAGAAGTGATTGACATGCAACTTCTCCCTATAATATTCATACATTAACCAGCAAACAGGTAATGAGAATAGTCAAACTTATTAAGAGAAGTTTTTATCTTGATCTAACTCCAAATTCTCGTAACTAATTTACGAGGAAGTGTAAAGCAGCTAGAGAGGAGAATTATCAATCAGATCTTGGGAGTAAAGGGTTAAAACGACCAACAGCATTAGATGGAAAACCATGATTTAATTTCGCACGAAAGTCAAGTGTCGCTTAAAACAGCACATTTTTCTTCATACATCAACAAGTTTACTTAATATCGAGGAAGTTTCTGATAATTTCAATACAAATGTCTAGGTGTTTGTTTGAAAGTCGCAATTTCTGGGCAGTTTTCTCACCTTCTTGAAGACCGCGCAAATTTTTAACTTGTTTTCTGTGCTTGGAATTCTACAACTCATTTTGTGATGCTTGTGCCTAGATTCCTGAATTACAAACCTAGAGAGAGACTGGTTTGGCCGACGAAACACTTGTTAGATCGAGAGGAATCCAAACACATTCGGGGCCTCATTACTACAGCCATCCAACAGTAGTGTGGTGACACATCTTGCGTAAAAAAAAAAGATTCCAGAACTATTATCTCTGTCAACGAACTAGTGAACTGTAGTGTTGAAGCTCTTGGGAAAGTCTGGTTTATGATAGCTCACTAAAACAGCTAAGCGTAATAATACAGCAGAGTTCACTTTTCTGACTATCATTATTATCGTAAACTACAGTCGCCCTGTATTAAGCGATCACCAACGGGAAATGACCGCTAAATACAGGTTCCAGTGATTATTATAACAAACGTTCAACAAAGCCATTTTATAGCATAATTGACCACTTAATGTACAGAGTCTATCGCGAAAATACTACTTTGATTTTGGAAAAGAAACATTCTTTAAAAATTCATTGAATTTTAAATTAAATCATAAATTCTTGAAGTATTATTCTTAGTTTTAATGACTGGTACCACTTTCAATGATCGTACCACACAGGTGGAGGACAATTAAAACAGGCAGTTAGGACTTGATAAAGGGTGACCTCGACCGCTTAATAGAGGTGACCCTGAATAGAGGTAAAAATTGCGCTAAGTCTTGCTTTTTTTTTTTTTGCTTTAAGTTTGACTTGTGGTCGTTTATTATATGAAGAGTCCTTGCTTGCTGTTCGATTGGCGACGTCAGAGCCAGCAAGCTGTACAATCATCAATTCGACTTCTTTTTTTTTCCTTCCCTCTGCAAACAGGTCCAATATTTGAGATGCCAGTGGTCATTTTCATGCACTATAGTGTCGCGTGATAGGTGTAACAAACTAAAATAGATCCACGAACATTCATGTAACTATCCTTTTGGACCAACCAGCTATCTGGACGGTTTATGTTCATAAGTTTACCACAGAGATGCTGGTGTTAACTGTGATCATTTTGACGCGCACGATACAACCAAAAGGTAATTTGCTTTGTCTTGTAAAATCCGTGTTTGAAAGACCAAATTCCCTTTAAAATGACAAACTTGTTTGTTAGGGTTTAAACAATCCTCTCCCTGTATGGATCTCTTGTAATTACACTTTTTCCAAACCTGAAATTTTTACATTTCAGTAACGGTGCACAAAAATTGAAGAACACTGTTCGTGTTTTCGGGACCCAAAAACATCTCAATTCTGGGACATTCCTAGCGTAGGGAAATCTGTAGTCTGAAAAACAATATACATTTAAAGATCACAAAGGGAAATCAATTTCTAGTCTCGTCTCGTGAAAAATTTGGATGAACAAAAGATGGCAATGATTTAGTCAAGCTAAAAGGAATTTGATTTAAATGCAAGCGTAGGAAATAGTAACTTAAAGAACAATGTACATTTAACAGATCAAGAAGAGAGATTGATTTGTGATTTTGCCTCATAAAAGTCGTCATGAATAGAAGTTAGCAATGAATGATTTTTAAGTCATTAGTCTTTCATCAGATTTATCATCATTCATGCATTCATGCTAAGTTTAGGAAATGGCTTTAAAATGATCATTAAATGTAATTTTTTTTCGCCATTATTGGCCGCGGTTTCTGTTACTAGTGACAAAGGGAAAACCATAAATCGCACGAAATTGCACATACAATCAAGGAAACGGAAGACCTTCGCGGGTTTCCTTTGCAAAATCAATTAACGCGCTATTTAAATCACTACCACAGTAAACTATATAACAATAGAAAGGTTATGAAATGCACTATTCGGCAAAATTATTTCGTTTTAGCTTGATCGAATTATAAACCGAATGAGGCGCGAAAATTACAAATGGACGATCTTTATTTGAGCGAATTGATCGGGAATTAAATCTGACCTCACAAATAAAACCTTTGCACAATTTCAATCCTGAGAGGTTAATATTCAATGTCATGTATTTTTCGATATTTCTATTTGTTCGGTCGCCTTTGTTTATCGAAATTTTACCGATGCGCGTTACGAAGGAGGCCATTGCGGGAGATCCATTTTGAAAAACAGAAAACCCCAACACAGCTTTCTTTAGGTTGGTATCTTGGCAATCTTCGGGCCGAATTTCAAGGCAATCCGTAAAGTTTACGTAACCTTATTTTTGTTCCCTTAAAAAAAGGCACATTCGCGCAAAAACAAAGTAGGATTGCTTTTGCTTCCAAATTTTTACCAACAATTTACGCCTTTGGGTGATCAAATATCAAATAAATATGTAATTCATCATACAAAGATTCCAGTCATCTTGTGCCCCAAAGATTATCTGTGACTAATTTAACATTCTGTTAGGGTGTGGTGGGGAAATCCACATTTTCCCTTCCAGTAGCCCTCTCTATTTATTTTCCTTTCCAAGGAATTCGTAAAAAGAAGAAAAACACTTTTTTCATTTTCTGATTTACATGTAATATCTTAATGTTTATCGCCATGTGCTTATTTAGTTGGTCTATCCTGAACGTTTAAGTTCCTTCTGATGGAGTTATTTTGTATAAAGGAAATAGCTTTGATTTATAATGGAAGAAAGTAAATTTAAATTGTTACGCTCGTCCTATTTGAATTACTATGTATACTGCTGGGGGAAAAGAACTTGCACCACAGGAAAACCTGGAACCTCCTCACAGGGACTCCCTTCTTTTCCCTAATCTGTAGGGCTTCAACAGTGTTAATCGTGAGCTGTAAAACGGGACGAAACACAATCGGAACAGGCCCACTCATATCCACCACAAACTTGATATTTTACGGTTTACAGTCAAGTCGCTCGAAAGTCATCTCGCTTGAAGTCATATCGCCCACAACCGGAGACAAGTCGCCCGAAACGTTAAGTCATTTCGCCAGAAATCACCAGTCATGTCACCCGATTTTTTATCACATGTAAAAACGTCAAAATGGTATATCTTTGGAAATTGCTGAAGGTGCCGATGGATCAAACTACCCTTTTGGGTGTATCAAACATTCAGCGAAACATACATAACCAACATAAAAAATTTTATCTAATTCAACTTCTTGAAAACAAAGCGGATAGTCCCAAAGGTAATCTATTGTTTGCGCTATTGTTTTCTTCTAACAAAAGACTGTATGCATAATGAAGTATGGGGCTGTGCGGAAACTTTGCCCATCTGTCTACCGGGGCTTTGATCATCACTGAATGTTTGGACAGGTAAGAATCTACCAGCGGGTTGGGATCAAACCGATTCGCACTGAGTACGAAAAGTCCGTGGTAAGAAACGAGAAATATCAGCTTTTGGAACTCTTTACAGTGGTCAATTACCATTATCGATTAAGT